TCGTGGAGCATATTGGAGCAGTACCCTATCAACTGAGGCTACTACTTTCATCAACTTTGCACCCAGTCTTTCATTCTTGGTTGAGGAAGGCAGTAGGAGAGCATACACCATCATCTCTACCCCCAACTTTAACAGAGGAATGGAGGTCATTTTGAAGACCCTGGAAGTAGCTGGTGTGCGCAGAGGGGAGACAGGGGCACAAGAGGTGCTAATCAACTGGAAAGATTTGCCAGAGCATGATGCCGCATGGGAGCCATATGAGACAATCAGGAGACAGTTTCCTACCTTCCACCTTGAGGACAATTTTCATTTTGGGGAGAGAAGTATTGATCAGGGAGAGTGCGGTAGGCCGATCCCCCTTGTGGGGCCCAATCTATCATTACATAAGTGAGAAGAGGAATTAAGGAAGGGATTAATTGATGTAGATCGGGTAGGATGGCAAAAAATCTGAAACAATTCCTTTCAGGAATTCTGAAAAGTTTTAGATTTTTCCTTTCAGGAAATCTGAAAATTCTCAGATTTCTGATGTAGAACGGGTAGGATGGAAAAAATCTGAAACAATTCCTTTCAAGAATTCTGAAAAGTATCAGATTTTTCTTTTCAGGAAATCTGAAAATTCTCAGATTTTTCTAACTGGTGTAGAATGGGTAGGATGGAAAAAATCTGAAACAATTCCTTTCAGGAATTCCGAAAAGTTTCAGATTTTTCTTTTCAAGAAATCTGAAAATTCTCAGATTTTTCTTACAAGTTCTGAGAGGAGTTTCAGCGGTTAATAAGCAGAGGAAAAGGCATTAAGAGGGGCAGCGGTGTGGGCTCAAAGTCAATAGTGAATTGGGGAAAGAGAGGAGCTGTGAGAGAAAGAGGAGGGAGACGGGTGGGAGAGAAGCTCACGTGATTGAGAGGGAGTGAATGCTCTTGTTTCCTAAATCCAACCTCTAGTATTAGGAAATAGTTTATAGCCTAGGTATGAAGGGAAATTCGGCCAAGGTGAAAAGAACAATCTCAGATTTTGGAAGTATTTCCTGAAAAGAAAAATCTGAAACTTTTCAGAATTCCTGAAAGGAATTGTTTCAGATTTTTTGCCATCCTACCTGTTCTACATCAGTTTGGTATCAAAGCATGGACTCGGATCAACTTGGAAGGACTCTAGACTGGGTGGTAGGTCAACTGGGCGCCATTAGTCAACATCTCAAGGAGAATCAAGCGGACTTAGCCGACCTCCACCGTGAAACAATCGAATGATTCGATAACCTAGAGCGAGGTAGGACTGACCCACCGTTTTACACAAAACCCCCTTCATCAAAGGGTAGAAAAAAGACACTAAGAGACAGAGAGATAGTGGATAGAGTGGACAAATGGATGGAGGCCAATGAAGCTTTCAATTTCCCACTCACTGTGCAAATCAAAGAGAAACATAAGATGATCAAGGAAGAACATGAATTGGTTGACAAGGAGAAATGCGTGACTGCAAATAACGCAGAGAGAGACTTGGTTGATTCAATTACAACTCCTACTGAAGCAAAAGTTTCTCCTGACCCAGTTAGCTCTCCTATAACAGTGAAGGTTGATGAAGCTCTGGAAGTGATATCCATAGAACTTAATATTGCTCCTATCGCTAGTGAAGCCATCTATGAGAGTGAACAAGTTCCTGCAAGCGAAAAGAAGTGCGACAGTTTGGAAGGTGAGCCCTTGACTACGGTTAAGGAAATTGGCAAGCTAAAGTGCAACAAGCAAGTTGATCTTGTGGGAAATTGGGGTTGTTTGAAAATCTTTGCAAAAATGCCATTGGGTTTATTGTTTCCAAATAACAGTCCAGAGTTGTACAAGAGCAGTTGTGATGCTAACTCGGCGCAGTCGAGTATTCTCCCACCTAGGGAGAATGATGCGGACATCGGTACAAATATTTGACACATCTATCACAGGAGGCGTCGTAAATCAACAGCTATTATTTAAATCTTCATTTATGAGTTATTTTCTGAATTTTAGCTCTTATTTTATGTTATTTCCTGTTTTACCCCTCGGTTAGTTTATGTGAGTGTTGTGGCCCAAGGGGCAATTTTGTAATTTTGAGTTTTTCTTATGTTGTGGCCTATATATTGGGCCTTAAGCTATTGTAATGAGGATGAAGAATTGATATTAAAAATTTGTATTCAACAATTGTGCTCTTGTGAGAGGACGATAGTGAGATTTCTATGGAGAGGAATCGGAGTCTTCACCAGCCGCAGGATGGGTCCGGGCTCGTGAATTAAAGTCCCTTGGAGAAGGGCAAAGAATCACCCGTTAGTCTTTGGAAGAGTCCAAGGCTCGCGGTTTTTATCTTCTATCGTTTATTTTCTATCTTTTTATTTTTATTTTGTTCCTTCTTATTGCTCCTCGTAGTCTTATTTTTTCATCTTCTTACTTCCACCGTCACGTCGTCTCCATCTCCACCTCGCCGCCGGTCCCTCACCCGAAAAACCTCCAAACCGTCGGCCTTAGCTCCCTAGCCGCTGGCCTCATCCTTTTTCCTCTCTCCTTAGCTTTCCTAATTTGGGGTGCATGATATTAAGACTTAGTTTGAAATTCAAATTTTCTAAATTTGAAATTCAAAACTTATTTCCTAATTTAGTTCGCCTATTTTAGGAAAGTACTTAATTTAAATCAATTTGAATTTCAAATTCAAATTGGATTTATTTCATTACATTCCTAACTCCTAAAATCAAGTTTAGAAGCCCTCAATCACAACATTCAATGCTCCCCTTATTCATGCAAGCCGCCGGCCCATTTATGAGCCAATTAGGAGTTATTTTCTAATTGCTTCATAACCTCTCTTTGAAAAAGTTTCCATTTTTAAATCCTATTTGAATTTCAAATTCAAAAGGGATTTAATTATTTCTTTCCTTAATTCCCTACATTAATCAAATTCCATTAATTCCTTCTTAATTTAAATTCCTATAATTCTATTTTTGGAAAGTTATTTTAAATTTAATCAAATCAATTTATGAAAGATTGGGATTTAAATATATCGTTCCCTATTTTCCTACCTCACGTTAGCAGGCATTAATGATTTGTTCTAATCCCTTTTCCCATTACTGCTGCCGCTCCCTTAATGCCGTCTAGGTTTAAGTTTAGGGTTTATTTTGTGTATGCAGAATTTTATTTGAGATTTGTTGTAATTTTTTTTTTCGTAAAGGCTTTTTAGTGTCGTCTAGGTTATTTGGGAGAGTCGATCTACTTCTCAAATTGTAATTCACTTCTATCTTTCTTTCTTATTGAAGTTACAATAAAAAATTAGTCATCTTTATTTGTATTTCTACAGTTTTCCATTGTGTGGTTGTTGTTTTTGTCTCCTAGGCATATCAGAGTTATTCATATGTTTAATAACCAACTATGGGTCCAATAAAGCTGGTTCTATTCAAACTCTATTAGGAATTTAATTCACTAATTTAGTGGCAGGTTTCTAAACATTATGCATATAACAATCATAAGATTGGGTTTTTAACCTGACTCATGAGACATCAGATAAAGCCTATTTCTGAGGAATCAAACAAAAAATTCTTTTATTTATTATTCACTATTCCTCCTAATAACGACTTGCTTCTTGTGGTACAAAATTTGTAGACTATATTGGGTATGTTGTGTGCTTCTGCATATAGTTTTAAATTGTTGTTTATTAGCCTTTTTTATTCTTTTGTTTTTAGCACATGTCAAGATTTTTCGTGTGGCATTAGCTTAAATGCAGAATTATAATTAGCATTAACTTTGATATTTTAATGATTGGATGGACAATGCATACAATTTTTTCTTTCTTTTCATTCCCCTGCGATTATTCTATAATCCTAACATGCAGGCAAATGATACCGAAATTCCATTACTCCATGAGTTTGACGGTGCTGTGCAGGAAAATGGGATGAAATTAGAGGTGCACCTAGCTGATTTTTTTTTCTTCATTTAATTCTCTTTTACTTCGTAAAATAATTTTCTGTTCCTTATTCATTCAAGTGAATTTATGTTTTCTTATAGGAGGAACGAAGATTATTTTATGTTGCCATGACTCGTGCTCGTGAAAAGTTATATATTTTATATAATACCGTGGACTGTAATTGGAAGGTAAAAATTTTGCTTATTTTTAACACAATTTCTGTTTTTTGCTTTTATTCACTTTTGCCTTATTTCCACTTATCGTTCCAGTTGCTCCAACCTTCAAGGTTTTTGAAGGAGATCCCTGGTCATCTTGTTGAACTCCAGGTGCGTGATCAGTCGTTGTATTGCCTCTGTCTACACTAATTGTTTACGCTGGACAAAAGAAATAATGTTGCATCACTGGTTAAGCTGACGTAAGTGCTATGGTGCAAAAGATAAGCTATACGATGAATTCACTAAAGGCGTCTCTTCATAACTTCAAGAGATGAAGACTAAAAAATTCTCAGGATATGTTAGGACTATTAGAAAGAATATCGATCAGCTTTTAATATGCTTTTTTGATAATTTGTTTAAGCTTTCAAAGCCTTAAAGTAATAGTATTTTATATTTTTTAAATTGATGAATTTTTTACTTGTGAAAATCTTTCCTCACTAAATTACGTTGACGTAAATACTATTAAGGCTTATGTGTATTTGCTTATCTAAAACAATTGTCAATTAGAGACTATTCAGTAATATTTAATTTTCTTTATAGTTAATTAATTGATATTTAAAGGTTTCAATTTAGTGACTGTTGACCATCTGCATTTGAGAAATATATTTTGTCATTGTTGAGCTCTATGAATAAGAAGCAAAATTGTTGTAATTGCCTTTCTGTTTCTTGGTCAAATGAATATGTAGGGTGAGGCACAAGCAAATAAACTGGGAGATTTGCATGCTGAAAGTGGAACTGATCTTTTTGATTCCAAAAGTGTATCATCAAATGAAGTAGATAAAAACTGTAACAGTGAACATTTTCCAGACAGTTTAATAGAAATGCCGGATGCTGGTGTTGGGAATGATTTTTTGAAGAGGTACTTGTGAAATATTACATTTGATAAATATAGCATGCAGCTCATGCAACTTATATCTGGTTTTTGTGTTTATAATATATGTTCCAATTTTGTTTTGTTTTTATTGGATAGCTTCAATATTGAAGAACGGTTGATTGTCTCACATTTATTTCACCAATGGGCCAAAAAGCAAGCATTTCAACATCCAAAACGGCTGCTTGATAAGGTTTTTTTGGTATTTACATTTAAAATAAATCATTTATGCTTGTATAGCATATTGAAATCATTGAAGGTGCTTTATATGTTGGTGTGGCATTATTGTGCTGTGTTTTTAGTGGTCTTTTTGCAGCCTTTTCTTTTATTTATTAGGGGCCTTGTGAAGGACATTAATACGGATGATCTTAATTTATGGAATTGTCAGCTAAGAGCCTTTAGTTAAGGTATATAGTCATCATTTCAAGTTGGCATGAATTTGCATTGAGGTGTGAGATCAATGGGTCCTGATATCTGATAGATGGATCATATTTAAATGGAGAAGAGAAGCAGGAGAGAGGGAAGCATGGAAAATAAAAATAGAGAGAATAAAGCATGGATGGGGAAGAAGGGAGGGAAATGGAAAGCGAGATAAATGAATTTTCTTGAGACAAGGCGATGAGAGAGAATACGCGGAACAGAGAAACCAAACTAAGAGAGGCTAAGTTGAGCGAACATCTTTGTGAGAGAGAGAATGGAAGTGCCATGGGACAGAAGGAGAAAAGAGGGATCACTGAACGTGGATAGTTATTTTAGGAGAATAACCTGAAATTCTCAAAGAATTAAGTGCACCTCTGAGTTTCTTAGAATTAAGTATCCTATATTTTCCTCCTCTTGGCTTCCATTCCTAAAATTTTATTTAAGTTGATCACTATCTCCTTTAAAATTCTCAATGATCAAATCTTTGAATAAGACTTTTTCAAACTCCGAAATGAAAAAATTAGCCAATGTTTTAAATAATATAAATAAACCACTAGTTTAATAAAAAAAATTATCAATTAACAAATACTTAAGATGTAATTAACCATAGAGGTTTATCTTTATAAGGCATCCGTACCCCATAATAAAATAAACCCTATGTAACCAAATATTGAATAGAATAAAATCTCTATTCAAATAAAATTATGAATTTTGTTATTGATTCCAAGCAACATAATTTTCTCCGAACTTTTGGCTCAGTGTGAAAAATTGATACCTGTTTGTACAAGTGAGGGTTTTGAGACCAGCATGTGTTTGTTTTGCAAATTGATTTTATCAAAGTTTTTTAAACATGATGAGCTATTTTATGAATATTTTTTTATAATTTTTGAAATTCCCGATTTGTAAATATAAAAGAATTTATATTGATTTTTTGTGAAAATTAAATAATTGCTTAGTTGCATTCATATATTATTGTTATTTTATTATAAATATCCTATTCCATACCTTGCCCTTAAAGTCATTTAATCTTCCTTAATTTGACTAATATAGAGTAGTTAGAGGAAAAATAAAAGAAAAGTGAAGAGAGAGAAAAGAAAGTGAAGATTTGAGGCTCGTCAGTTGACCCTCTTAAGAAATTTGCTCGTCTCTAAGGAACCATTACCCTATTTTTGATTTTAAGGATTTTGTGTATTTTGTATTTTTAATTTGATCAAAAGTTGCAAACGTTGCTATATCTTTATTTTTAGTTAACTTTCATTGCATAACTTATGGTATGTGATAGATGTCGTTAATATAAACATTTTAACTGTAATATTATTGAATTTCACTGGCTAAAATAGAATTTATTGAATTTTGTATGATTTATACTGTATAAAAATTAGATATTTTTATTTAAGCATATTGTTAGTACAAGCTTTGAGAATAAAAATGAGTATGTGATTAGGTAACAGCTGGTCACTATTCTTGTTATCATACTGTGATAATAATATGTGAGGGCAAGTAAAAGTTGATTTCATCAATGTTGGTTGGAGACTAATTGCCATATAAATAATAGTGGGTCGACGAGCTTTCCTTTAAAGTTGATTTCATCAATGATGTTATCATTTACTAATTCATGTGGTATTGATTGGGGGTTATAAAGAGTTATTATTGTCCCAACGGACAAATAGTGATGAGCCAATGAGATATTAATACAGATTACTGCTTACTGGAAAAACACTGCTTAAATAAGGACTTTTTGTTTAGTGTGACTTCTAAAATGCATTCTATTGATTCCTTTATTTATTTACTGTTACTATTTATTGATTTGTTATCACTGTACGAATTTATTTTTATTGCCACAGGTTTTACTGATGATATTGTACTCATACTGAGCATGTGATTAAGATACATTTGATACTTATATGTAATAACTTGATAGCATGTGTACATCATAATAGGGTTTTACTGCATTGATATGATTTCAACAATCTTTACCAATGCTTTGATTTTATCATTTTATATGATTTATTTACTGATTGATAATATTGATATGATGATTGTTTTATTGATTTGACGACTATACTAATTTACTGGTTTTCCCACCTTATTGTTTTACTAGCTTCCATATTATTTTACTAGCTTTCATACCGTATTGTTTTATTGGCCATATGTGACACCTCCATATTCAACTGTTGTTTTAAACTGTTTTGACTTAAGTGGAAAAAGTAAATTTTTTATTTTTTTAAGGTTTGAACCCCTTTGCATGTCTTTGGGAGTGGTTTGGTGTATGAAAATGGTTGACTGTATTCTAAAATGTGTCCCAAGTATTTGGAGTGGAATTTGCCAAAATCTAAGGAATGTCATTATTGGAGTGCCCCAATGTTGGGTGTTCAAGCGCCTCAACGTTGCGACAGTATCAACCGCCAAATAATAACATTGCAGTGCTATAAGCTTTGGGCTTTAAGATTTTGAACTAGCATCGTAGCGCTAGGTTGTAGCGCTTCATCGCTAAGCCACTTGCTACACTTTAAATATATTTTAAAACTACTTTGATTCATTTCGATTGCATTTATCCATCGTTGAGGAGAGAGATAGAGAGAGGTTTAGAGAATAAAAAGTCTATTTTTGAACTGTTTTTAGATGTCGGCACATTTGGGAAAGTTGTCTGGATCGAGGTAGGCCACTTTATGCCTATATTAGTTTTAAAAAATAATAAAAATTTTCTAAAATTTTTGAATAAATTTATATTTTCATTATCGAAAAAAGAGGATAACTTTGCATGGGAAAAATTTTTGTTGGATACTTTTTATATGCTATAAAGATTAAAATTATAATTGTGTTGAGTATTTTTTGAAAATTTTATACTAGTAATTTTGGAATTTGTGTTATTTTAGTTGAATTTAAAATAATCAAGACTCTTAAAAATAAAGTCGTAGTACAATTAAAGTCTTAAATAGTGTTTTACACAATCCTCGGTAATTTGGGCTCGGGAAAAGATAAAATTGATATGAACTATTTTGCTTTGTTTTGTGATATGAATTTCAGTTTATTAGATTGCTCAGTATTATTACTTGGATCTTTGATTATGAGGACATCGTCAGAGATTTCGACTTATGTACCATCAGGAGACGCCGGAGATCGACGGCCACGATCATGAGTTTTAACCATCAGGAGACGTCGGAGATCGACGGCCACGATCATGAGTTTTATTTTGAGTCATTTATGTAGTAGTTTATTTGATTTCTATGTGTTTCTGTTTTTGCCCTTATGGGTATTTAGTCGCTATTGTAGCCCAAGGGACATTTTAGTCTTTTGTTTTCTTTGTTATTTGGAGGCCTATATATATGGTCATTTTCCTATGTATGATTAGTTTTAGATGAAATGAAAATTTATTTTGTGTTCTCTTTGTGAGTGCATATCTCTCTCAAATCTCTTAGTGAGTTTTGAGAAGAGCTAGATCTCTTTGTGAGTTCTAGACCTTCTTCTCCATTATCTTTGTGATCAATTGGTGTGGGAAATCAAGGTGAATCTGTGGCATAGTAATCCCTATTAGAATTGCCCTTTTCCTCCCTCCTTGGATCCTTGGCGCCGCCCCTTTCCTCTAGCCAACCGCCGGCCAGCCTCCCGCCGACCAACCCAGCACCCCATCCCGCCGGCCTGCAAAGCCCTCCCGCCGGCCAGAAAATCGCCCAGCGGCCCACCGTCCACCGTGGAGTCCTTGCCGCCGGCCACCCTCAGCCTTGTCGCTGGCCACCCGTGAAGCTTTGCTGCCGGTTTTCCTCTAGCCCACCTATTCGAATTTTGAATTCTCCTCCCCTAATAAATTTCCTAATTAAGTCAAATTAAATTAGGATATTAATTACGGGGAGTTACAATCTTTTTGAAATTCAAATTTCAATTCCTTCTTATTGTCATATGAGTTGGGAGTTACTTAATATAATTAATTCTGAAATTAAAATCGGAATTTTAATTATATTAATTTAATCCTATGTGGTCCCCACCTACTCAAACCTAAAGCCACATCACCCTTTTTTTTACATGGCCGGCTGTTAGACCGGCCCATCCTGGGCCGGCTGGACTGGTCCAACAGGGACCGGTCCAATTCTATTCCAGGCAGAGAAAAACGGGGGGTGCGGAACCGTGAGGTTCCGCGTGGGCTTTTGGGGGGAGTTTAGGAGGGAAAATTTGAACGTGAGAGGCTGTTTTAGGAAGTTTATGATTGTCCTTTATGATTAATTTTGTATAATTAGGAGTTTGGGGGGAATTAGCTCCTCATCTTGAATTTGAATTCTCTTTTGAGATCTAGGGTTTGTGTGCTTGGGCTATTGGCTTCGCCGGAGAACGTTGGAGAGTTGTTCTTCCTCTCGAATTGAAGAACAAATTGTATCTTTGTTGCTTTCTTTGAATTCTAGTAGAATACAAGCAAGATCTTGTGTTTTTTTCCTGTTTTTCCCTATTTTCTGGTGCGTTTCTCTGAATTCCTGCTGTTTTAACGTTGTGGACAGCAGTTAGTTGCTGTATTTTTACTGATTTGAGTTAGGAATACTTGAGAACTTAATTATTTCCTATCACCGGCCTCCTCTCTCTCTCCCCTCTTAATTTTCTTTAATGCACCATTAAACCCCATTAACTCCTTCCCCTTGTTCACGGTTTGCTCTTCCCCTCACATCTTCTCTCGAATGCTCCATTAACCACTGATTTTCTTCCCCTACTCAACACGGTAGGAATCCTGTTCGGGTTGGAATGTGACGCTACAGACTTTACTACTTTTGTATGTGTGTTTTGTTGGTTCTATATCGATTCATAATCATATGATTGTTATTGCTATGAATTGACTGACGATATGTATATTGCTTCTTTACAGTCCTTTGAGTTAGTTGTAAAAATTCAGCACTTATTAGACTCTTGAACTCATTATATATGATTACAAGTCATGACAAGGAAGCAGGGGTATGAGATTGATCAAGATATTTCAATTTCAGGTTTTTATTATTTTAGTTATTCTTTTGTACTTTGGACAGAGTAGTTGTGAAATGATTATATAGACCCTGAGTAGTGGACATGGTTTTTGGAGAAATAAATACATATGTATATATTGATGTTTTGATCGATAGTTTTATTTCCGCTAATATTTATATTAATGAAAAAAATTAGATATCTATGGTTGTTATATATTAAAAGATAAAAGAATAATTTTTATAAATTAGATTATGGTGCATCACAAGTTTAATATATTATCTTATATGTCATGCTCAATCACAAAATATCTCAATATTTTAAGAATGGATGACAAAATTTCTCCAACCATAGGTAGAACCGTAGAAGTAGACCCAAAAAGGCTTGGCTAGAAAATATTTGTAACGACTTTTCTTTTATTAAATTTAAATGAGAATTTGACTCTTAACAAGACACAATGGAGAACAATAATTTGTGTAGCCGATCCCACATAGTGGGATAAAAGATTGTTGTTGTTGTTGTTTGATTTGGACAAAAGCATCTAATAGTTTCAATCAGCTAATATTTGAAGTTATAAGAATTTCTTATGTGCTAACGTTCACTTGACATTTATCTGTGTATTTTATTGTTTATATGGCTCTATGAATTTACTTCTATGTATCTGTGGCTACAGGTCAACTTTGTGATTGATGAAAGGCTGAGGAATAAAACATACAAACATAAGGTCTTGCGTTTACATACTCCTTTTTGTTTGTTTCCATTCTTACACTAATTTCTTTAGTTTACATGGCAATGCTCAAAGTAGTATGCAGGTTAATTTTCTATTTATGCTGTCATCTCTTGTACTGATCTTGGAAATCGATGGCACATTGGCCTCATCAAGTTTTATATTATAAAAGGAGTACCCAAGGCATCATGGTGCTTGACAGAGATAAATAAAATAAAAATAAGATTAGAGAACTTGAAATCTTGCAAAAGAACTACGTGACCTCAAGGTTCTTAAGCAACTATTGGCCTTCCCCTAACAAAACTGGACTAATGAACATTTTAAAATAATTTATTTAATTATTCAAATAATTCAAAAATTGAACCGGCTGGTTCAAGAGAATCGTGACCGGTTCAGTGGTTTGTCGGTTGAACCAACGGTTCCGGCCGTTTCAATACAAAAATGGTTTTTTGGATGAACCGGACCGGTCATAAGACCGGTTCACAGTTGGATCGGCCAATCGAGTCCGATTTTTTTAACAGTGTATTTATCTATTCTTTTGGGAACTTCTATACTTTTTTTTTCTTTTGTGACTAACTTGTTGATGTAATGGTCTACATTGTTATTCTTTTGGGAACTTTTATACCTTTTTTTCTAGTATGACTACTTGTTGATGTAATGATATATACGAAATATTGACATTTCTTCTTTCATATATGTTACGGGTTTTTGTTTGAAATTTAATTATAGTATGTTGAATATAAAATCATATTTCATGTTTTCAATCTGCTGAAGTATTATATATTGTCGGGTACCTTTGGTCTTTTCCAAGTACTCCTTGTTATCATGGATATAGGCTGAAACGTTTAATGCTTATGCGCAGAAATTTTCATATATAATTATTCAAGCAACTTTCATAATATTCTTCAATAATTTCAGCTTTTACTTATTGTTTTGTTCACTGGATGCCGGCAATCTTTGTTTTTACCATTGAAATTTGTTAATGCAGGATACCTTGCGTGTTTTAAAATCCTGTTTAAGTAATGATCAAGCTTTCCACTATGCGCAATATGTAAGATATTTCTGAATTTCAACAAAATGTTATTTATTTCATCTAATATCAGTGGATGAGCATGTACGTGGTTCAGGTTTTGAGGTGGGAGCAGATCCCTATGTACAGGCGTGCTCATTTGATGAGAGAAAAGCAGGTTTGTTTAGGGTCCAAATTTGGTTTCTACAGAAATATCACTTGATATGTTTTTGTAGCTCAATTTTAAACATTCTAACGTTAGCCTTATGCATAAATAGCTGGCCAGTGATTAGCCGAAAGAGGTCAATTTAACTAGATGGATGGAATTCTTTGGTTGATAGGGTATTTTTTTTAATATTAATTTGACAATCTATCTCTTGCTTTCCTCTAGGTCCTCAAGTTAAGGCATTGCATACAGGGATGTGAAGTACATATGATTATACAATTCCTGCTTACATAAATAAGGAAGTATAATTGTTGACGTATATTTTCGTATAGAGATTGAATTAGCCCGGATTGAGCCGATTTGAGCCCGACTGGGCTCGATCGAGCATGCACCGTCAAATTAAAATTGATCCAAATCAAACCTCAATTAAATTAAATTAAATTCAATTTTATCAAATTAAACTTAAATTGATTGAATCGACCCAAAATTGGTCCACATCGAACACAATTGAGCCTCGTGGAGTCTTGTCAAACCAAATTCAATGCCAATTTCATAAAATTGGCTCTATCGGACCTAATCAGACTTGAATTAACCCAAATCGAGCCCAATTTGTCAAATATGGGCTCAATTTCAGCCCAATTTGTCAAATTTGGGCTCATTTGACTTTCTAAATTAGGCAATGGAATCAATGGCCTCGATCTCTTAGATTTCAGTTGTTTGCCTTCGTGCATTCAACCTAGCAAAACAAGAGAGGAAGGGAGAGGACTCTTGCGAGCTCGTGACAGCAGTGACGACGTTTGGAGCACTTGGACAGTGGTTTTCTTCCTCCTTTCACTGTTTTCTCTCCTTTGCAAGGCGAGTGGAGTGTGTTTGCTATGGCATAATGTTGACTTCTTATCATTACCATACTTGCAAACATTTTTCATGTAACACTGTTGACTTCTTGTTAATTAAAAAAATCCTCCAGCAACAAATATTCCTTTAAAAGAAGCAGCATATGGCTGCTGACTAGGATGATTCGATCAAGTTGGATTGACCTTCTCCTCTAAGTAGAGTAGGGATAATGACAAGCTGGATGATGGTTTCATTGGATCTTAATCAGGCTTGTCAGTATTCCCCCAACTGTCGATAAGTCAATAAGTTGGTAAATTTCCAACTTAACATCAAACATCAAGCCTTTGTCCCACTATGATACAAAAGATATGGGCTTAAGGCTGATCCTTGATGTAACCCAACCGAAATAGCGAAATACTTGGTCAAACCACCTTGTGTTTGAACACAAGTAATAGCTCATGCATACATATCTTTAATGATTTGAATATAAGCATTATTAACTTATTTCTTTTCAAGAACTCTCCATAGCACTTCTCTTGGAACTTTATCATATGCTTTCTCTAAATCAATAAATATCATATGTAGATCCTCCTTATTCTTTCTATATTTCTCCATCAAAGCTCTCAATAAATGTATGGCTTTCATAGTAGACCTACCCGGCATGAATCCAAATTGATTTTGAGAAATATTAGTATCACGCCGCAACCTACGCTCCATAACTCGCTCCCATAGTCTTAAAGTATGACACATTAACTTAAGTCCTCTATAATTCGCACACTCCTGTGCATCACCTTTATTCTTAAAAATAGAAATTAACACACTCATTCTCCACTGATCTGGCATCTTTTTAGTCTTCAAAATAATATTAAAAAGTTTAGTAAACCAAGAAATTCCTTCATCTCCTAAGCATTTCCACATCTCTATTGGAATATCACCAGGTCCAACAGCTTTTCTACGCTTCATTTTCTTTAAAGCCTCTCTAACTTCGGTTTTACTTATACGCCGATAAAAACAAAAATCTTTATTTTCATTTAGGGTGATAAAGTCAATCGTATTTATACATTCTTCATTAAAAAGTTTAGCAAAATACCTCATCCACCTTTGTTGAATATCATCTTCTAAGAAAAGTATTTTTTGATCTTCATCCTTAGTACACTTTACTTGAATTAAATCCTTAGTACTTCTATCTCTTTGTTTGGCTAACTTATACATATATCTTTCTCTCCTTAGTATCTATCTATTATATAAATCATTAAAAGCTAAGCTCTTTGCATCGCAAATAACTTTTTTAGCTTCCTTTCGAGCATCTTTATAGCTTTCCCAATTATCAGAATTTGTACATTTAAACCAATTTTTAATTCTTTATAACAAATCTTCTTATTTTTTATCAAAACGTTGATAATATATGTTAAGCACTTATCTTCTAAATACTAGCTTTTATTGAAAGTTCTCCCCTCATTAAGAGTGATAATTAATTGTAAAGGCTTTCATCTATGTAAAACTAGAAATCAAATCATAAGGTCCTAACTAAATGTGGGCCAAATCTTTGGATAGTGTCGTATTTGCAATTCAATATGCATTTTAAAAATTTGACTCAAAAGGCACATGAAACTCCCTCGGCAGTGTTGGAGCATGAATTTTCGGATCCCACAATCCTTTCAGCCTTTTTCCTATTACTAGACTCTTTATGGTTATGTGCTTGGTTGTTATTGAATTAAATAATTTGGTTAGAAACATGGCCGGTTAGCGACTCCATACCTTCTCTCTCTCTCTCTCTCTCTCTCTCTCTCTCTCTCTCTCTCTCTCTCTCACTCATGACTCGCTTTCTTTTGAGCTATATAGAGGATTAGATCGCTTAGTAGTAGTATTCCTTAATCCCAGTTACTGAACCAAGTAAAAATCTTGTAAGATCCTTTTAGAAGTAATCTCTATGCGCTTGTTCGATTACCAAATGCTAATCAGCTTTGAAAATATTTGTTTTTTTATATTTTTTATTTTGTTATATCCAACTTTTTACCTTTTAAGTAGTAGCAGCATGTGGCTTTTTAATATAGTCGCCATTTTGTACCGAAATCTGTTACAGTTACTGCTATAAAGTGCTTTAGTGCATTGCAGGCATGTATTGTTGAGATGATATTATCTAGCTGACCTCCATTTGGACCAAGTTGTTTCTTCGCTTGATAAACCCTGTTGGGGTTGCCCGTTTTCCTTCCCTTCATGTGATTTGTCTGTAGTGGCAGTCGCAAATTTTAACTTTTTAACAAATTTTTAGATGACTTCTGGTTATGCAATAGTTGCATAGGCTATTAAGGATTCGTTTGGGACGGCTTTCTCACTGCTTCTTAAAGCAGCTTTTTAGTAACAAAATTTTAATTTTTATGCTAAAAAGTTACTTTAAGAAGCAGTAAGAAATCTGTCCCAAACGAAACCTTAATGATTGTTGAGGGCTGATATTCGAGATTTCTTCGAAACTTTATGGCGGAGGGTATCTACCAGTCATGCATATAGTTAGATATTAAAGATCTTCATGGAAAAAAATTGTTAATGTTGTAATTTGTGCATTCAGGAACATTTCCAGAAGCAAAGAATTGAGGACTCAATGGGATCAGCAGAAGCAACATCCAAGCAGGTTTTAGCCTTTCTTATGACTTGTCTTTCTTTCTAGTGTGAATGCATTGTCTTTTACTCCACTGCCCACAAGATATTATAATTAATCAAGTAAACAATCAGGTATTCTCCAAAGAAAATCTTTGGACAATATTTGATCCGCTTATGCTTATTTTGCAATGCGACCAGGCGGTACTTAACATTTTATCAGATTAAAGCCATTTTGCTGGACAACATTTTATCAGATTAAAGCCATTTTGCTGGACATTAACTTGTTGAAAAATCTGTTTATCTTTTTTTTTTTTCTTTTTTTTCGCTTAGGGAAGTGAAGGTAAATAATCACTCGTCGGAATAGGAATGTTTTGAAAGTTTGATTTTCAGAATCTTCTAAGGAAATGATAATAGATAAATCCTTTTGGATGGTGTTCAGGTTTACGAGTAAGTCCAACCTTTTTACATGATTTCTTCAACTTAATGATGGTAAATCACTAAATATTTTGGAGCTAAAGTAGGGGTGTGAGTGAGCCGAGCCGGCTAATGAGCTCGAGTTTGATCATGTTATTGTTCGGCTCGATGACTCGTGAGCCGGCTCGATTAGGGCAAGGGCGCGTGAATGCAGGTGGGATTTCGAATGGGATGAACGAAGGCGGGATTCGAGCATGAACTCGTGAACCGGCATGCTTGCGATCCTCGGTCCCTCCCACATTTGTCGCTTGACGCTTCGATTCGGGCCCATCGAACGCAGGCGGGAAAACAAAAACCGGGTGAAATCCTCAGTTCATCCCCATCAAACGCATGCGAGTAGGAAAACGAGAACCGGGTGGGAAATCCATTGGTTCGACGAATGGCGGGCAAATTTGAGACTCGACAAACCCGTTTTTGTGTCGCGAGTTGAGCTCAAGCTCTATATTTGACTCGCAAGTCGAACTCGAACATCCCCTAACTCGAGCTCAACTCGACTCTTTTATGCCCCTAAGTTGTAATAAATCTCTAATTACCATGGCAACTGCGTTTTTTTTTTTTAAAGAGAAAACAAGGTTCTGCCATTTGTATAAAAGAAACTGCAGACATTTTTATATTCTCGTTAATTTGTCAGATAATACATATTGTATTTTTTTCTTTTTCTTTTTTTTAGCTTTTAAAACTCACAATCATCATCTTTGTTTATTTCACAGATTGCGTTTCTTCGAAACTTGGGTTGCACTGTCACTCCTACTTCACGTCTGCATGCATCACGTTTGATCGAACAGTACAGATCTCTCTGAAATGGAGGTTCTTAAGCAATTTATCCATTATTTTATTCTCATAATTTTTGTCATTTAAGCAGCACTCTTCTCTTTGGGACAATTTTTTCTGTTATTTTAAATTATATTCAAAATTTAAATTCTCTTTACCTTTTTTCCCTACTGTAGCAGAGAAATTACTTTAGCTCTATTCGTAAATTGCTTCTGTTGTGAGTTTTTAGATAAAAGTTGAGATCATTCGATCTTTAAATTTGGCAAATTTATTGGCAATGAATATTTTGATCTCTAAATTTCATATGTTTAGACATCTAGATGGTAGAAATTCAAGGGGCTCAAGATCAATCAATTTTAATGTTATTAGACACTTTAAGTGCTTCAATACTGTTCAATGATAGAGTGAACATGAGCAATGTGATGAAGTGTGTTAAAATTTGGGTGAAATTATTAAAATATCACAGCGAAAATTATGTATAAACATATTACTCTCCTTCTAAAAGAGACTTAAAATGTGATACTTCAGAGTTTAGTAATTGTATTATTTATTTATTTATTTATTTTTATGGTTAAAAGAAGGGGTGCAACACGAAAGTGATGTATGTCAATAAAATAAAATTAAAAAAAAAAAAGAAATGATATAGTAAATTTTAAAATAAAGTTATAAAATACTATATGTATGATAATAAATTCTTGATGAATATTAGATGCAATATTTGTATGCTTATGAATGATTTATAAATAATCAATAGGGATTTAAATATTTTGAGGTTAGATCAACAATAAGAAGCAGATTTATGTATAATGTTAAGACTTTCCAATTGATTGATTTTTATACTCCAATATAACACATGCTAGAAAGCTGCAAAAAAAGTCATGTTAAACGATGCTTTAAATATACACCATAATATACTACAAATGTTCTTGGCAAATTCATATAGGCGTGCATGTATACTTAATTAGTGATGTATGCTTCATATGACTATTGAACTCTGAAAATATTATGATTAAGAACTATTATTCATTTATTATTATGGATACGTCATCATAAAATTATCTTGATCAGGCACGGATCTCAAGGCAAAATCAAGACGGAAACATCAAAAATTAAATTCGGGAGCATCTGAACTCCGATTTTAGCAAACTTACAGTCAAATTGAGTGTCTCAGAAATACAAACCCAATGACACCAAATTTGACTCAATCTGAGCCCAAATGAGTCCAAATCAAGGACCCAAAGCGTTGTTGGAAGGTTCGAACCACAATTTGAGTTACCAAACGGTCTTCGATTTTAACGAGCTTATAGTCGAATTGAATGGCTCGACGAGATGAATCCAACGAGCCTAAGATCGCCGAATTCTGACATCATTAAGACCCTCAAATGTCTGATGAATGGTCCATGATCAAGGGATTCAATATCGGCCGTCCATTCAAACCACTCCCGATTCGCCCATGATCTCGTACCTATTTACTGGCCATGTTACTCCATAAATTTATAAATAGACCCCCTCATTCTTCATTGAAAGGGGCGAAGCATGGGGGAAGCAAGAAGAAGGAGAAGAAGAAGAGAAGAATATGAGGGAAGAGACTCCTCCTCGACCACCGCCGGAGTTCCGCCCGAACTCCAAATGGCACCGGAATTCTGCCCGACTTCCACGGGACGCCAGAATTCTGTCCAACTTCCATGGGCTGCTGAAATTCTGCCCCAAGTAACGACAGAGTTCCCCCTGACGCCCAAACTCCACCCAAGTGATACCGGAGTTCTCCTCGGCCACCAACAGATGTCGGACTTCTACCCGACGCCGGACTTCTACCGGTTATCAGACTTTCGCTGGACTTTCTATCCGAAGATGGATTTCTTTCCATTGTTGAACTTCTACCTGACGCCGTCCTTCTGACCTTCGTCGTCAGACAACAGTTCTTCTGACTTCCGTCGTCAGCCGACTACGATCCTTCAGACTTACGTCGCCACCAACTACAGTCTTTCCAACCTCTGTCGCCCGCCGACTACAGTTCTCCTGACTTACGTCGCCCGCCGATTACAGTCTTTCCGACCTCCGTCGCCCGCCGACTACAATCTTTCCGACTTCCGTAGCTAGCCGACTACGATCCTCCTGACTTACGTCGCCCGCCATACAACAGTCATTATGACCTCTGTTGCCCGCCAACTAAGATTCTTTTGACCTCCGTCACCATACTATGGTCCTCCCGACCAAACGTACACGTCAATAGTGAATTTTTGTATTCACATCATGTAATGTACTCTATAAAATGTACATCAAGCTAAGGCCTTCTCCCAAGGAAGGGCCTCATTTGTAATCAATTGCAATACTAGTGGATAATGTTATATTCGTCAGATTCCTATGAAGCAAAAAAACTTACCCGACAAATGGAAAAAATTTGGTAAGATTCTAATGATATTTAAAATTATTAAATTTAACATAATTTTTAATTATTTCTTCACATTTTAAATGTATATATATTTAAAATAAATTTAATAAATTGGTGCTAGAGATATAATAAACCGGAAAATTAGTTGATGCTAAATAAAGGCTGACAAAAAATGTTGGACAGCAGCCTCACAGCAATAATAGAAACTTATTAAATGAGAGGCTCGATTATATTTTTAACATCTAAGGATCTGTTCGGGATGACAACAGTTTTTTATAAAAATTGCTATAAAATTTTTATAGAGAATATTATTGTTTTGAAAACTACTATAAAAAAAAATTTAGGACAAACTCTTTAAGAAAAAAAATAATAATATTCAAATAAAAACTGTATAATTATGGTGTGACAAATAAAACAATAAGAAAATGCTGTCATCACAAACGTCTACAGTTTTAAATCAATTTTATCAATATTTGAAGAAGAATGTTATCATGAGAAAAATAAAATAATCTCATTTAACAATCAATCAAAATTGAAAAGCTAATCAAATTTAAAATAAGATTTGAAAGGTAAAAAATAAATAAATAACTTGATTCATGAAATAGTAGACTTTGAAGCGACCATAATAGATTTCTGAAAGATTGTTCAACTCTTTATGTATTATAAACACACCAACTTATGCAAGATTTACATGGATTGATCTACAATTGGAATTCCCCACAATTAGAAAAAAAAAAAGTGCTTTTATGCAAGTTTGAGAGCTAAAATTTGTATCTAGCATTGGGAATATGGAAAAATAAATTTGATAAAACAGATTAATGATAAAATAATCAATTTTCTATTATGGTGATGGTTAAATAATGTTGGCACTTGATAGTTAGCTTATCCTAATAAGAATAAGTCAAACATATTTCAAATATATAGCCAAACAAAGAGAAAATAGCAAAGAAGATCAACATACAAAACTCTAATTTTGTACAGGTTTGTCCAATATATGGCTACCTCATTTCACCACTGCAACTAATTTCATTATTATTTAATTGGGGTAATCACTAATCACAACCCTAATGCCTAAGTCTTCGTAAACAAAAACCTAATGCCGCTGAAAATATAATAAAATCCTCGAAACAACCTCAATGAAATAACCTTGCAAATTTGGATATCTTTTTGCTTTTGGGAGCTCTACACTGAATCGCAACTAAGGCTTCGTTTGGGACTTTTTTTTATTGCTTCTGAAAATGGAGTTTTAGTACAAAAATTAAAAAATTTGTACTAAAAATCCGTTTTAAAAAGCAATAAAAAAACCGTCCCAAACGAAGCCTAAGTCTATAAAAAGTGCTTTCATCTTAAGGCCAAAATTGAACCTAAAAGAATAGAGATATTCCAAGCCAAATCAGAGATTTGTTTCCAATGAAGCTGCCTTTCATCGAAGGAATTTGAGGCATAAACCACAAAAATGTAACAAATAACATAAGGGCTAAAATAAATAATTCCATGAACCAGCTGACTATAGAGGTAAACAAAGGCCTAAAATCAACCTTTTGAGCATTCCATTTTATCTAGATATGACCATGACTAGAGTGTTTTGTCATAAGAAGCTTCATGGCTAAATATTTTATGGGAAGAGAGGAACTAGTTGTCGGAGATAGACATGGAAGAAATTTTTGCTTCAAGAATAAACAACAAATCTAAATTATTTTTGCTAACAAATTGCTTACAACACAAGACCTTATATGGGTTGTTAAACCCACCGGCGTTCCAAGCCGCCATGAGAGGAAGGGTTATTTGGATTTAGAGGTGGGGGTGGATGTCTTTTTGGCATTTTTAGGTCCAATGGATTTAGTGTTCTGTGCTTGGGTTTGAAGGATAGGGCTTTTGACCTTTACTGTTGACTGGTGGGTCAATCTTGGACATGCAGAAGATGATTTACATGTGTACCAGGGTTGGTAATTTTTATTGATTTGTGCCATTATGACTAATAAGAGAGAGATCAACATTATCATGTGGCTCAGAGATGGCATAATATTTATTTTTGGTGACAAGGGAAGGTTTCAGAGAAAGGGGGTCTGGCCTAGGAAGAAGGGGGTGGGGTATTGTCAGTGAGAGCAAGAGCCTCATTGGAGCCTCAGAGGGTGAGTTATGGTTCAGAGTAGGACTTGGTTTGGAGTGAAGGTAGATATGTTATGAGAAGTGACAGGCTTCTGAGGAGGGTGAGTAGGATTTTTGGGGCAGAGGGTCGGCCGGTGAAGAATAGAGCCACATTGGAAGAAGAAGGTGGGTTTCTAATTACAAAGAACTCTAGGAGGGGAGATCTTACCATCCACATAAATGTAAATCTTATCAGGCATGGGAGAAGAGCTATTCACCTGAACACACACGCTAGCAAATGTGAGCCTGATTTTTTGCCATTGTCAAAGCATCTATCACTAAAGGGATGCCAACAACTAGCTACCTTAGAAATTCCTTCAGGGATCCAACAAGAAAAAATGAGATTTTTGATCTTGGTCCAAAGAGGAATCGAGGAGAACTCTTCTTTTTTCGGAACAAAATCAAGCAACAATTTCTGCGGAGTGAAGGGTTTACCAAGAAAAACCATGGTGCACCTGACCATGCCATCTCGTAATATTCAACCAAAACCTTAGCGCTCTATTTTGCTAGGTTAGATGTTTGCTTTCCTCCATGTTGATAGACTTCCTCATAATGATAATTGCAATACATATGCCTCTCACCATAATAGCCATCTAAGGACCAAACAATGCTTCATTCTGCTCCATAAAATGCTTGTCATGCTCTCTAGATGGGCCTCATTATAATAGCTGGTGATGAAATCATTTGAGTATTACATAGCATTCTATAGGCTCTATTTTCCGATTTATTATTCTATGCGGAGTGCGGAGGACGTCAGTAGATCAATAAAAATGGGTCACGTCACCTCATTGGTGGGTACCTAGCTCGGTATCCACACTCGGTACCGTTGGACCGGACGATTCTCTCGTTTGGTATCCGTACAGAATAAAAGCTCATATTTTGCACTGTCAAAAGCTCTTTTTTGATGAACCTGCTCATCATGGCATTCAATAATGTAGTAAGCAATGCACCATACTGCATGCCAACATTACATGAAGATTTTGTTTTTGAACAATTTTCTTATTGCTTTTAAAGCAATTTTCTAATACAAAAATCAGCTTTTTAAAAAAATAATAAGAAAATTATCCCAAACATAACCAAAGACATCATTGTTTATGATATTCACATATACTTCAGACTTATCAGTACATGCTTCTATTTTGTTTCTTACAAATACGCACCAAGAAAAAGCTTTGCTGCTCTCTGCATCACTTTTTTTAACTGCACAATTACATTATGTACTGTAATCTCTCCAATATAAGATCATTGTTAAAATGCATTCTAAAGACATTAGATGTGAAACATATCACTTCATTAAATAGGTGGCATAGATTTAGTTTGAAGCTGTCAAAACTCCATATTCCCTAACATGTCATGGCCACGAGAAACTATTTTGTGTGGTCATCGGACATCATCCGGAGGCGAATCAGGACGCATCATATTACTTTTTTGTTATGTACCGATGTTGTGTACCGGTGACATGACACATCCTGATTCGCATCCGAACCATACAGTGACCGCACAGAATAATTTCTTCATGGCCACAATTAAAGATCACCTGACGGAGAGATCCGTTCGGATCCTCTCTGTCTACAGTAACAAAAAAGTTCATATATGCGTGCATGTATGCTTTATATAACTATTGAACTCGGAAAATATTATGATTAAGAACTATTAGTCATTTATTATTATACATGGTAAATTTAAAATTAGAGCTATAATTTTATGTTTTTTGACCCTGGCGTTGGCTATAATTACATAGTCACTATTTATATTATTAGTGAAATGAAAATAATGTTATATTCGTCAGATTCCTATGAAGCAAAAAAACTTACCCGACAAATGGAAAAAATTTGGTAAGATTCTAATGATATTTAAAATTATTAAATTTAACATAATTTTTAATTATTTCTTCACATTTTAAATGTATATATATTTAAAATAAATTTAATAAATTGGGGCTAGAGATATAATAAACCGGAAAATTAGCTGATGCTAAATATAGGCTGACAAAAAATGTTGGACAGCAGTCTCACAGCAATAATAGAAACTTTTTTTTTCTTTTTTTTTTTAAGGCTTACACTGCCAATTTATTTTCACAAAGATTGATTTTTTTGATTTGCAATCTGAAATAAAGAAATGAAGGAATTAGTACAAAATGTAATGTGGTTAGAGAAACATTACACAAACTAAAATTCTTAAGCGAGCATTCCATAAATCAATGACGATATTGTGTCTAATAGCTTCATCTTGAATTCTTTCTCCAATTGTCGCTTGTAAGTTGTGATTCTCCTCAGGCCTATCAACTTCCCCACTTTTAGCATTATGTTGCATTTCTGTTTGTGACATATTAAAGTATAGATCATGTCTGTGGTATCGCTCACGGAATCAAAAATATCTTTGTGAGACCCGGTGTAAAAGGATTGTTTCATTCTGATTTTATTTAGCCTAACCACAATACTACCAAACAATTATTTGTCACGTTAACATAACAAATACCATAATACCAAGCAAGAGTTCAAGTAGAATATCAAGGTGATATTTAAAAATTAAAGTGAATTAAATGCCATGAATAATTTCGTTAAAAATTTTGACTTTCAAATATTTTGAGAAGCGATAAGAAGCTTCCAAACAAGAGAAGCACCAATGGAAGAGGTGGGAAGGTTGGAGGATGAGAGTGCGGGGAAATCAGAATAGGACATTAGGACAAGGGAAGGAGGGGAAGTCCCTCCCAGAGGAAGGCATGAAGGTAGCTAGGATTCGCGAAAAATCCTAGCAGAGCATGAAGCTACTTTACTACTACTACATAGCTTCTTGAGTACTAGGGTATCTAGGGTATCATATTCTTCTTAACTGTTAAATGATTGCGAGAAGAATGAATGGAGCATTTATGAAAGAGAACTAAAAAAAATTTAATATGTCAAAGAGGGAATAACACTTACTGCAAGTTGAAGAGGATGAAAGAATCGAAAAAGCTATACATAGATGAAGCAGATAGAAGAAGAAAACCTACGTATATGGAGAGTTGAATAGAAGAATTGGGTATGGAAAGTAAATATTATTTGAATAATAAGGTAAAGATCCGAACGGATCTCTCCGTCAGGTGACCTGATGCAATAATTTGCCCACTTAAAGGGGTGCATAAATAAACCAACAAAATATAGGTAAAGAGGTATATGAACATGGGAAATATAATTTGCTGAAAAACACGCCTCAGGCTGTCTTTTAGATAATTTGTTTTAAAAAAATAAATGAAAAGAAACCATATAAATGTAGAAAAAAACAGAGAAAATTAAGAGAGTGAAGCAAGTAACTAATGCGTGATAAATCATGTGAAGCTAAAAAACTGGAGTAGTAGGAGCCAAAGTGCGTATTCCATCACTGCAATAAAGGCAAGATAAAGAGAATTTATTCTACAAATAACGGCAATTGTTTCATTGTTCTAAGTTACAAGTTAAGCTGCTCATTCAAAGCTTTTAAAAGACTGGACAAATAAGGAAGAAAGTAGCCATCTTACAGGCACATTTATAACCCTAAATTTCAGAAGGGATCATTTCTGCTTCTTTGATTTCTTTGGTGGATTATTTTCTTCACCTTCCTCTGATGATGCCTCGATAGGTTCATCAGGAACATCATTTGGTACATTGTGCTTCGTGATGTATTCCTTCAGTATGTTCATACTCTCTTCCTTCATTTCTGCCAACTGTTGAGATAGTTTTCCTGTTTTTGAATCAACAGAAAAAGCTTCCGAACCAAGAAGAAAAGTAAATTTCACTCTGGGTGCAGAAAAAATGGAATCTTGAAAGTGTTCTGTCATCTGGAGAATGGCAAAGAATGACAATGGTGCATATATAAAGTTTGATTTGTATTATCCACTTTATCAAGATCATAGAACTACAAAATATGTATGAAGTGTCTTAACAAAATAGGTAAAGATCTTGAAATCATTGTCAGGATTTTTAGGTTCGAATTTCATCTGCATCAAATTTGTAACTTGTACAACAACAACAAGACTTGGGTAGAAAATATTAGAAATTATATTTTTTTTATTACATTTAAATGAGAATTTGACTTTTCACAGGACAATGACGAAAAAAGATTCATGTAGCCGACCCAATGTAGTGGGACAAAACAAGCCTTCATTCCACTACGTTGGGTTGGCTGCTTGAATCTTTTTCTCCATTTTGTTCTATTAATAGTCAAATCTTCATTTAAATCTAATAAAAAATATTATTTTTTAATACTTTTTAACCAAGTGTTTTTTAAGTCTAATTGTACCTTTCAGAACATAGGTCGGATATAGTACATCTACTCTACTAAAAGGGTCATCAGAAGGCTGACATTTTAAGTGTTGAGTAGGAGTAAATAAATAAGTTGGAAGCTTGTCTTTACAAGTTGGGTTCAATTTCAAGTATGAGGGAGTTATAGTAGTTCGTTCTATGCATTTGTATCAAGAATGATTTCTTATTATAGTTTGGGAAAGGGAAGGTGTGGAGAGATGTTTGCCATCTATTAATGGTTTCTTGGAATAAAATGTAAATTTTTGGAAAGTAAGATATTAATTGTGAAGGGAAAAATGCATTAGCATTTGGGAAAAGTGCATTAACATTTGCATAGTATTTTAAAGGAGAAGCTTGGAACACTTCATCAACCACTTTCACATAAGAACCAATTATTTATGAGATCAAGTCTAAGCCAATTGAAAATGCTATTGATATATAAAATATATTAATCTCCTTTTGGAATTAAAAAGATGATATTAAAATGAAGAAAGACTTTATATCTAACATAAGTTTTGAATTTAGATTTGAACTTGCACTACTATCTACATCAAAACCTATCTTAGAATTTGCACCATATTCTGAAAATGCTGCCTAAATGAGAGACTTAATAAGAATGTAAAGCAAAATCTGAAACTTATGTTAAATATAAGATTGAATTTAAAAGCTATAATTTGAAGGACGGAAATCTTCTATTTCATGTAATCATATTGCAGCTACCAAAATATAGAAAAACAAAGCAGCACAGATAAATTAATTACCTAAGTTTTGAAGCCGAAAATGTAGAGAATGCAAAGCATGGAACAGCTAATGGAAAAAAATGTTACACGGTTTTCTTAAGGAGAGTGGAAATTGAACAGCTAATCGAAACAGCTCGTAAGCTTATTACCAAGCTATGCTCGAGCCAGATCAAGAGCAAGCTTGCATAACTTAACCCTAACACCCTTTAAGAGACATAGATCAATTTTACAACAGTAATAAAATCCTTCCACATGAAATGCTGCATTAATCGATTTGGCGGCACACACAAAAGAAAAAGAAACACTGGCTAACATAATGATAACAAATAAAGAAAGATTGAATTAAACACATTGATTGTGGACACATGCCTAAATTTTGTGAAAAGGAAAAAAAAAAGTCATGCAGTAAGGTGGTTCCGAATCCAATCGACTTGCAAGGAAACAAGAAAGGCATGATAAAAAGAAAGGGAACAAATTACCTTTGCGAGAGAGGAACGAAAGGGGATTCGGCGTCGGAGAGAGGGCCGGACCTGGGAGGAGTCTTGCGCAGCTCTGTCCCGGCTCGGATGGGAGGACGGCGGAGGAATTGGGGTTCGGTCAAGCGAGGAAGAAGAGAGACAGGAGGGGCTTCGATTGTGAGCAGGGCTATGCGAACAGAGAGGCGAGTGAGAAGGAGGAAGGAGAGTTCGGCTTCTCTGGGGTGGAATGAATCGAAGAAACAGGAGAGGAGGCTGCAACCAGAAACTTTTTTGCAGGCGGAATCGCAGTGGAAGGCGAAGGCACGATGCGGTTTGTGTAGTGAGGTGAAGAAGATAAGAAAAGAGTTAGGGCGGCTTTGCCGCGGGCGGGTAGGGTTTTTCGGTGTATAACCTGTAATAAGTTTTCAAATATTTTAAAAATAATGATATTATAATAATTTAATTGAGAAGCTTGATAAGCTTTTGAGTTGAGTATGGTTGAACTCAAATTAGAGTTTGTTTATTATACGAATTCAAAGCTCGATAAGCTCAGCTTGCGAGCAGGTTAATGAATCAAATTTTTGACTCACACCCATAAGCGTGATCTCGTCTGGACGTCTAGTCGTTTGGTTCGTTGGCGCTCACGTGTCATGTGACAATGTCTAGTCCAGTTGTCAGCCCACCGTGCCTCATTTCATGGCTCTTGTGCGAGCCAACAAGTCCACACTTCCCGATTTTCGTAGGTCCTCTCATATTGTGTTTAGTCCATTCAGCCTGTTCGTGGTCAACGTCGACCCCACACCCGCAGACTGCACCAACATCGCTTGTCGCCTCTTTTTTTGAATCAAACAGGTTAGCATATCGTGTTGAGTAAATCCGGTAACCGGTGCATGTAAGATCCATGTTGTAATACCTAACCTATTTGTAAAAACGGGTCGGATTCGAGTTAATTAGTTTAGATCCGAGTCAACCCGGATTCGACTCAAATCAGACCCATCGATTATTTGGTACAGTCACTAGACTGGAATCAGGTGTGGGGAATTTTTTTTTTTTTTCCGTATATCCTATGTTAAAAAAAAACAATTGTCTTATTGTCAATAAAGTTCAGACATTGCACCTAATTATTTTTTGAAGAAAAGGTAAGTGAATTGATAGATTTATTAGAAATTATTATGTATTTTTAAAATTAGTCATAATATAATAAAGAGATGAGATAATATTTAAAGAAATAAAATAAAAAAGCAGAATTTTATATAGAAGAAAGTTTAAGTAATTTTATAATAGAATAGTATATATATCGATAGAATTATTAGAAATTATTATGTATTTTTAAAATTATGATAATTTATTTTTTCCAATAGGTATGTAAAGCTTTTTTTAATACTAGCGCAATTTTATAATTTTAATCGAACTTATTTGTAAACGTTGCTAAGTTCTCTCTATAAATAGGAACTTAAGATTAGGGTTTGGGATGCACTGCATTCTACATATCGTTATATTGCCCTAGCCGCCAGGTTCGTCTTTCCTCTCATCGCTTTTTCATGAGCAACCTACCTCACACCCTCTATTACTTTCAAGTTGCAGCATAATTGCTTTAGAGACTTAGCAAAAAAACCTCCATGCTTCTGCTTACCCAGTTGCTCCATCCTAGAACTCTACCTGATCGGATTGCAAGCATGCTATGTGGCTCTCGAAATCTGCCGCACGGCCCCGGGCCACAGGCATTGTGCTCAACACGAACTTCCCTTTGTTGACTATTTTGATCTCCTTTTTTCTCCAAAGATCAGCGTGCTCATATTGTAGCATCTCTTAGTCAACTGCTCGAGTTTGGCCTGCTGATAATTATCATATTTCCATTATTTTAGCGTTTGGATCTACGTGTTATTGGCGTTGTTTCGAACGATAGGGGATTGCTGTGATGACTGCGAAATTCAAGCTCAACAGACCGGATTACATGTCTCTCATAGAGGGATCTGTATGTCGACTATCCCGCTGAACTGAGCTTTCTCCTTCTTTCGACTAGCAAATTTACATTTTCTCAATTAGAGTTTGTTTATCTTGCCATTGCTGCTTCTACGTTTCTTCTAATCTTTTCGAAGTTTGATTTATGGGAAGGCTAATATTATGATAAAAAAGCTCCCTCTTCTGGAATGTTGTTGAGGACTCTTGCTGGCAGAATCGAACCAATTATTTAAATGGCCATCACTGAGTAAGCCTTCGTCACAATTCTCCACAATTCTCCATCGCTTGTTTTCCGAAAACCTTATTTCCGTCGTTTTTAGCTGTTTTGAAGGTCAGATTTAAGTTAGGTCTATCAATTTACATTTCATCAATCGGATGGTGATGAACTAATTTCAGCATAATCCAACACTTGAACTGAGGACCTTCATGTCCAAGTGCTGAATCCCTTCTAATGCTTCTGAATCCGATTTCATCGGTACACCTTATCTTATTTTCTACTTTTTCTTTGTAGAAAAACGTTTTAACGTTGTTTTTTGTGGTTATGATGCTATCATCTTTGGCCATCTTTCATTTGATGAAAGCTTAGAATTAATCTTAGTACACCTTCCTACACATCTCAACTAGAGTTGTGGATGAGAATTCTTTTTAATTCTGATGATAGTGTGGCCATTCTGTTTTGTCCAATTTCCTTGATAAATTCTTGTGGGTCCTTTTTCTTTATGTAAATTTAATGAATCCCTGTGAGGAGGCAAAGACCTCAGATAGGAAGTGCCGTATGACACTGTATGCAGCCATGTCATCTTCTTTCCAACTCTTCTTCACTTCATCTTCTTCAACCACCTCTTCATAAATCTAATTTATTTTAGGTAGAATTGGTGCAGTTGATTCAGTACAGCGAAGGAGTTGTTTTTGGTATAGAGTGACTGGCTGCGTGCTTGATTTTAAACGGGTCACTGAGGGTTTCCAAGTTATTTTCTATCCTGTTGTAGTGCCATTTTCTACTAAATTATACATCATCCTTATTTTGAACTGCCCAATGCCACGTTATCTGTAGCTTAGTGCATTGACTGGTAATGCTATGATTGGGCACATACTGAACTGTTTTATTGTGTTTCACATTTTTATAGGAATCTTTGGATTTCATTATTGATGATCCATGGAGCCGTTTTTGTGATTACATTCAGAGGTTTGCTGTGCATATTGAATATAATGTGCACTAGTTCTCCTCGGATGGAAAAAATTATTAGGTTTGTCTATAATAAAGCGCATTTAAAGCACAGTCAAAGCGCAATTATTGTAATAATTGTGTTTTGACTATACTTTGATTGCGCTTTTATTGTAGACAATCTGGATGATTCTCTCTGTTTCAGTGTCTTACCTAATAATTTCTCCCTCATATGGGGTGGTTCTGATATCCATTTTAAAATAGGGGTAAAAAGGTTTTATCAAGTGTCCTTTTTTTGTTCTCTTGGTAGGAGAAACTATTCTGTGCTTAGTTTGGACAGGAAGAATCGTTCTGGTTGTTCTGTATTTTGGAAATATTTAGCGAAATATGTAACAAATAATTATAAAATATTCTGCAAATACTCACTAATACCTACAACTGTGTATTTTGTGAGTATTTACTGCATATTTGGAAATATACAATAAATACTCACAAAATATGTAGTAAATCGGGACGGTTTTTCATGTCAGGATTATGCACAGAATAATTTCTCTTGATAGGACATCCCTTGGTAAAAGTGGTAGATGACTAACATTATTGGACCTCACAGTTGAGCAAATGCCCTTAGGTTTTTTATTTTTGCATTTGATGTTCCATTATTGAATTAGGAGGAAAGCCTGTTTTTTTTCTCTTTCTGTTTCTGCTCCATTTTAAATTTATTCCTAAGCGTACAACAACAACATCACTGGAGTCTGGAGCATTTCCAACCTTTTCATGAATATAATTGTTTCTCATTCGTATTGCTTAATTTAAATTTACCTGAGCTCGTTTGAAAGGGGATTGCTGTGATGATTCAAAAATTTCAAGCTCAACAGACCGTATTACAAGTCTCTCTTTGAGAGATCTGTATGTCGACTACTCAACAGAATTGAGCTTTCTCCTTTTGAATTTCTTTCGTATTTTTAGATTAGGGTTTGTTTTTCATCGCTGCTTTAACGCTTCTTCGAATCAGTTATTTTAAATTTCATTTGTGCGAAGGCCACTATGATGATAAAGAAGCTCCCTCTTCTGAGATGTTATTGAGGACTCTTGCTGGCAGAATCGAACCAATTATTATTATCGCCATCACTGAGTGGGCCTTCTACATCACCAATTATTTTTATTTTAAAAGACGTTTTGTGTCCTAAGTACTCTCAGCATAATCTAACACTTGAACGAGGAATTTCTCGCCAATACATTGAATCTGAATTTGATTTCGTTGGTTTATCTTACTCATTTATTTTTTTCCCTCTTTAAGGGGAGAAATTATTTTGTGCCGATACCGGATGGCAAGAATCGTTCTAATTTGTTGCGTTTTAATTGTCATTTTGTTGAGCTTTTGTAAATACTCAGCAAAAGTTTCAAATATACTTTTGTTGAGTTACAAATATCTTCCTAATTGACTATTTGTTTCTTTTTTACAAATGTTTGGCAACAAAAGTGCATTCATGATTGCATGTTTGCTATTTTTTTTAATATTTAATAAAAAAACAGCAACTCCTAACGGTTTTTTTTTTCTGTCCGGTCTCCTTACAGAATAATTTCTACTCTTAAGGGAAGCTTTTTTTTTTTTATGCTATTATGCATGGCCATCTTTCATATGATGAAAGCATAGAATTAATCTTAGGACACCTTCCTACACAGCTCAACTAGATGAGTTGTGGATGAGAAATTTCTTTTTAAATCTGATGATAGTGTGGCCATGCTGTTTAGTCCCTTTGTTTCATATCTTTTGTAGGCACGGTTCATTGCTGTTTACAAACATAACAATTTAATGTGAATTTGGCTTTAGACCAAACGGAGTAATTTGCTTTTGTGCTTGATCGATTTTTAACGGATCACTGGCGAATTCCGAGTTGTTTTTACATTATTTTTTTGCATTATTTCTATACATGTTCTATTACCCGAATTTTCGACTGCCCATTGCCACAAGACACATGTAGCTTCATGCATTGACTGGCAATAGTATGCTTAGGCTTAAATTAGAGTGCCATGTTTTGGTGTTTAGGAATCTATGGATTTGTTTGTTAATAATTCACGGAGGCGATTTTTGTAATTACTTGGGAAGGTGTAACACGTTCATATTGGTTTTGGCAGAAGCGAAATTTTTGTAAGGTACAATTGTATTATAGATTTCTTTCATGAAAAGTTTGAGTATATTCTTTACAAATTTTCATGGTAGTAAATATGGTAATGAAAAGCTTCTCACTGCAATAGTATTTGGCACCAAATATAGGTGTTGCAGAAATTGCCTCAAGGAAGTAGCATTATATTTTAGGCTATTTACTGTTTTTTCAAGTAATTTTGTATTACCACACAGCTCATCTTGGCCTATTGGTTGAGAGCTTATGCTTCAACTAAGAGATCCTGGGTTCTAGTCTTTGTGTATACGTGGTGTGTGTGAGTTTGCTTTAATTGGCCTAAATGTCCCAAAAAAAAAAAACTGTATTACCGAAAAAATCTTAACTAGAACATTATTTTGATTTTGGAGCAGCTTATGTACTGTTCTTCTATTCTATACTTTCTGCTTTGTTTTTGTTTTTTTTTTTATAGTTTGATGAAATGCAAAAAAAATTGAAAGTTAAAAGACTTCACTTAAAGATACTTTGTAGTACGTGTTGCAAGATATACCCAATAGATATGCCTTTGATTGTTTGTCATTTTCCATTAAATTTTGCACAATATGAAAAACAATTATCATAAAACATTGCCGTGGAGCACTTGTTAAGGTCTTATTTGCAATTTTTTTATATTGTTTTTAAAAATATTTTTCTTAAACTATAAATTTTTATGAAGCTGTTTTAGAAAGGAGCAAGAAATCTCAAACAAAGCCTAAGATGCATCTTTGAATTTCTACGAGCTCCTTGTGGAGACTATCATATCAAAAGTCAAAAGAGGAGAATATTTAAGAATTGTCTCGTTCAATTAAAATGGTATTCTATTTAAATAAATGAATAAATACTAACTATATTTTATTATTTTAAAATTTATCTAAATACATGATATAAATTAATAATAATTTATTTAAAATTTACAAATATATATTTATTATATTTATTTTAACAGCAAATTTATATTATTATTATTATTATTATATCATTATTTTATTTATTATGTTATTTGATTTGACTAAACTTTTGAATCTTGAATTTCTCATTTTTTTAAATTTAAAATATGATATGACTTTCACAACCTTGTAATTTAATAAAACTCGACTTCCATCAGTCAATACCGTGCATTATGAAGTTTAGGGATTGCATCTCTTTGAACAGATTTGAATTAACTCAAAACTCCTGATGCTTCTCTAGTTTTAAGTATATTTTAGTTAGGAAGGCTTGACTTCATTCGCTACACCTCACAAGGTTTCTAGTTTTTACTTGGTATGCGTAGTCCAAGATAGAATCATCTTTGTAAGAGCCTAATTAATGAACTAGTTTCTATGATCACAACATGAATATCCTTTAAGAACTCCTTGGTTTTAGCCTTTAGTTGATTAAAGATAATTTTGCTAAATAACATAACTATGGGGCATTAAAGAACTCAATTTACACAAACAACTAGTGAAAATTTTACCTCTGAGGACATGACAGCAACAAACAATACAGCTTCACCATCATCTTCTTCTGTACACAGATCCTTATTATGTCTCAACCAGTAATTTATATGCCTCCTTTTCAAGGCAACCCGTTCTTCTCAACACATCCATCAACAATTTTACGCTCTCCTCACTATCCTCTTCCCTGCAAAGTGCAAAAGTCTCAGCCACCGCAGCTTGCTTTGGCTTCCATTTCCCCAGACCTTTATAAGCTGCCGCACCTTCCATACACCACAAAACCTCTGACACCATTTTTTCCTTAAGATAACCTTCTGCCAATATTTCCCACGATAAGGGCTTTGGCACCCCTCCTTTCTCCACAAATCTGTCAAGAATTCTCTTAGCATTACCAACACCTCCTTTCCTCACATAACTTCTCATAACAACGTTGCAAATCCTGGGGTCCAATCTGGAAGTACTAGACAACCATTCTTCATAGATTTTCTCAGTTCCTTCAATATCTCCCAGCTTAACCAACGAAGATAGCATTGATTGGTATCCAGAATTCAAAATACCACCACCAAAAGCTGACTTGTAGCGTTTCCAAACGCGATAGACTTCATCCCTTTTGGCTATGGAGCTGTAAAGCCCAAGGAGATAGTTAAATGATGCTCTGTCCCTACCTGTCATTCTAAGCTCAACTTCCTTCAAGCAATTTTCCGCCTTGTCGAATTCGCCGAGCCTGATGTACATGGTAGCGAGTGTGGTGTAAGTGGTCCAGTTCGCGTTGACACGAGCATCGACAATCATCTCTTGAACCACTCTCTCCATCTCCTCGACATCTCCCATAGTAGCACAGTTAGTAATCAAGATGTTGTAGGAGTACAAGTCGAAGGACACATTTTTCGCCTTCATTTCATTAATTATAGCATATACTTTGCGATGCTCTGCGATATTCATATAAAGAGTCATCATCACATTGAAAGGAAGTGCATCGTCTGTATATCCTTTGCCTTTCATTGTCTCCAGAGTTGCCTCAGCTTTGTCTCTCATCTTTGCTTTGCCATAGGCATTTAGAAGAGCCCCATATGTACGCCTGTCTTTGAAAATACAAGGAAGAATGGAGAAGTATCCTTCAGCATGTGAAATGCCACGCACTTTTGCAATGAGATCCAATTGGATTGCATTGTCGCTAGAGTTAAGTATAAAACGGTCTCCATGGGATGCCATCCAATCATAAACCTGAAGCACCACATCAAAAAAACAGTATAGAAAATGATTTGTTTCAATCTTGTCAGCAAAACAACAAGCAACACAGGATAATGATTTCCCTGAAACATTGTGTTACGGTCCCTAGTGGACCGGTCCACGTCTGTAGGCGGAGGCAAACAGGGGGGGTCGGGCAGAACAGGGAGGGGCCCACTCACTAATTAATCAATTCTTTGGAGGGAAAAATTCAAATTAGGGGTTGTTTAGGGATTAATTTTTTATCCTTTTGCTTCAATTAGTCTTTTTGGTTAGGGTTTGTTTTTCATCTTGAATTTGAAATCTGAATTTGGGATCTTCTTTGGGTGCTTGTGCTCTAGTATCTTGGCTAGAGATTTCGAGAGTTGTTTCTTCGTCTCGAATTGAAGAAACATGTATCGCGTGTGCTGTTTTTCTCTTTCTACTGGTGGAATCCAAGTGTTTTCTCTCTGATTTCATCAATTTTATCAAGTTTTTCGCTGCTTTGTTGCTGTTTTCCTGCTGTAAACAGCAGTTTTTCTGCTTGTGGATGTTTATTTCCTATCACATTGCAGGCTGTCCAAGTTACATATGAAAGAAAAGAAAAATGAAAATACAGGAAAATCATGAACCTGAGTAACAAGAAAATGCAGGAAAATTATGAACCAGAGTAACAAGAACAAGTTTAACACACCCAGATTTTTATGCTTAGATATGTTAGAAGAATAGCATATACAAATAATTTGTATGGACCAAATTTTTACAAGCTGGGTGGAAACTATATAGCTCCTTATCTAGATTCTTATTCGGCATATAACAAATTTGTTGATCCTTGTTCATGACTTCTTATTCCCATGGGAACAAGATTGCAGTGGTTTTTTATCCTTCTTTTTTATATGACAAGATCAGGTCAATAATAGATTTGTGATTCATTCTTACTCTAACAGGACTGTGACTCCTTGCAATTTCTTTGGACTGCGTTAATTACTATGGATTTTCCTTATTTGTGTTGTGCCTAATATGTATTGCCTAGTGCAATATTCTATAAATAAGAGCATTCTAGAGCAAGTAATAACAACTTTAGCCTAAATAAATTTCAGTTATATAGATGCTAAGTTTTCTTCATCCTTCCAAAACTTTAGCCATTGATTAGATATAAAGACTTGAAGTATCCCGCTAGAGTCTATTGCTTTGTTCAAATAAGAGGCTTGACTTTTATTTTTTTTTTTCTTCCAAATTTCTTGCTCAGATGAAACCCTTGCTAGACATTGTCGGAATTCAAAGAGAGGAGGAAGTCATGAAGGAATCCTACTTGGATGAGAAAAAATGGGATGGGTGGCATGCCGACAACAAATAAATGAGAAAGTCGTGATGGAAGACCATGCTGATGTAACTAGCATACTAGCGAGAAAGTTCCGATAGAGGATTCAGAAACAAAGATGCTGAGGACATGTGAGGGGCGATGAGACCGACAAGGGACTGAGGGATTGAAGAGAAAGTTAAGATGGATGATTCACTCCACCAATGACATGTGAAAAAGGAAAGAGAGACTAGCAACGTGTGAAGGGTGACGGGACAAATGATGGGATGTTATTTTTGCTCTTTCTAAAGTTTGAATGTTATGAATGTAAATAGTAAAGTTTAGGTGTTAAATATATAAATGAAATAGTTTAGAATGTTATTTATGTAAATCCCCCATATAAATAAGTAGGCACAAGGTGTATTGCACAGGAGGGCACAAGGCAAGACATATACTGCAATTGACACAAATAGCTAATGAGTATTAAGTTTTAAATGCTACCACAAGCTATAGACCAAAACTCGTAAACTCTATACTAGGAACCAGGGAGCATACCACTTGAACTAGAGTCCTTTGGTCGACACTAATCTAATTTACCTATCTAACTTATGCATTTTTTTTTCTACTCTTTGTTGAATATGTCTAGAACACTTGTTTATTTTTATTTATCTTTTATTTAAAAGATGTTACTCTGACCGCACCTCTAATGTAATCAATCAACAAATTATCCTTTTTAGTTTTGTTGGACATTCATCTTAATATTATATTTTTGTAACACTCAACTTGATTATCAATGATTTCTTACTATCCAACACTCAGATCAATACAACATATTGGGTTTAATTGTACTTTATTAGCATAACCTAAGTAGCTATGGATATCCTCTAATCACATGATACTCTTGATGGAATTTCTCATTTTTACCTAAGTGGTTATGGATATCCTCATATATAACATTATTCATTTGAATGATAAATCAAAGATATTTAAACATATCATAAATATCAATTGAGCTTCTAATAATATTGACAGCTAATTGATATTATTAAACCCACTAAAATTACATGTCATGCACTCAATTTTTGTTTTGATGATCTCAAGCCCTTAATCTTTTAATCAATTTTTTTTCTATTTTATAACTTTCTACTTATAGTAGAGGATGTCATTCATTAGAACAATTTCATCAACTAAAAACATTTGTCATCATTTAAAACATCTCGATAATAAATGCAAATGGGCTTCCTAGCATTAAACTAAAATGATTCTATATTTTATAACTTCCTAGCATTTAAAACATCTCTATTTTATAACTTTTTCATTAATTGCCTTCAACATATAGTCATTTACATAATGGGTTTCCTAGCATCAAACCAAAATGATTCTCTAATGTCAATGTAATTTTTCAATGCCCATATTTCATTATTCTCTCCCATAATATCATATATGACTCATAAGTTTAATTATTCTATAACTATCATAATACCGAACATCTCCTTTATTCCTAAATCTTGAGATTAAAATTCTCATTCTCCTATTATTTTGCATCCTCTCAATCTTCAAAACTATATTAAAAAGATTAGTCAACCAAAACGACTACAATATCTCTTTATACCTCTTCAAATCTCAATAAATATTTCATCAAGATCTTAAACATTACCTTTATGCATGTAGAGTTTACTCCATTTCACTTTTTCAAATCAATATATAATATAACTTATTATTGTGTTTAAAATATTTTTTCTTAAAATTCTAGATAAGTTTACATTTCAATGTTTATTTATCTATTCATATTTAACTAAGATCTAAGTATTGTTGCTTCTAACTCCTCTAACACGATCAAAATATCTAGTCATTTGATCTCTTGCCCTAACAATTTAATAATTCTCTTCTCTTCATCTGGTAACAAAATCATCAAAAATTGCAATTTCTGTCTTTCTTACCATCCCCTGTACAAGACTACTTGAAATTATTTATGTTTGACCCAAAAATCCTAATTTTTTCCTCAATTATTAGCATAGAAATACCTTCAAACTCCAAAAAAACTAATAAATCTGAACATAAAAAGAAAAAGAAATTCAAACAAATAATTCGGGTAAGAGAACGATAGCATCAATGAACATGCCTCAAGGGCTCGCTTGAATCTACCAAACCTCCTCAGCTCCTTGACGACGCGGCACAGATCCCACTTCGAGAGCTTCCGCTCGGCACCCTCCCATTGCTCAAGCACAGTAGCGGAATCGACATTTGGGTTCTCCGTGATCGAGATTCTTCGGTACAGCGAGCTCCACTTCAATGGTGGCCTCTGCTCGTAGTCCACTGTTCCATAACTGTGGACTTGCGAGATCGAGCATCGGATCGCGACGAGTTCACTGCTACGCCGCCTCCCCGCAATCAGATGCGGAGCGCCGAGACGCAACCCTAGAGGAATCCCAGAGCACGAAGAAGAACCACGGGCTGAAAGGCAGATGAGGTGCGGCGGCGAAGGGGTGGGCGAGATGGCCGCGTGAAGGCGCATTGTGGAGAGGCTCAATTCGCGGCGGGAGCAGGGCGACGGCGGCGGACTGTGAGATAGCTTATGCGGACTACGTTAATTGCCGATCGAGATGGATTTTGTGTGAGGCCCGCCGACTGGTCTAGTGAGCAATACTGTTAAAGTGCTTGTTAGCTTGTTGGATAAATCTTATAGAGCAAACTAATAATATTCTACAAAGCTTAGCCATGAGTTTTTAATTAAAAGAGTTAATAAATAAGCATGTGTTTTAATTAGCATAAATTAACAGCTTAATTATGTTCTTGATCAAAACAACCTAAAAGAGAAAAGAAAAATGCTCCTACTAATTACATATTAATAAATTTATAATCTAGTTTAAAATGGGAAAACTATCGAGTTTTAAATGGGTTTGCTCATAAATTTTAAATGATATTTATTATGATGAATGAACTGATCAATACATTAATCAATTTATTCATTTATCAATCTAGGATTTATAAAATATTTACTTTTTTAATTAGTTAATTAAAAGGTTTTAAATAAGCTCAAATTGAGTAGAGTCACGAGTAATTTAAGGAGGTTATTAATACAACTGTAGCTTTGCTAACAGTGTTTATATTTTGTCTTATAAGAATGAAAAAGTGTGCATTACACCGAGAAACATTCAATGAGTTATGAAATCATTTTTTTAGTCAATTAAGATAAACTCAAACGCATATAACATACGCAAACTTCGAACTAATGACCTCTTCATTGATAATCAAATCTCTCAATCTTTTGACAAACTACGATCCCTACACTTCCTCCACCCCACTATGGTCCTTCTGATCTAATTTGCCCGTCGATCACAGTCCCTTCAACCTCCATCTCCTGACTATGGTCCCTTTGATATCTGTCGTCGGTCGACAATGGTCCCTCTAACCTTTATCACCTGTCGACTATATTTCTTTTGACAACAGTCTCCTGTTGACTATGGTCACTCCAATCTCTATCGTCTGTCGACTACAGTCCCTCCAACCTCAATCACCCGACTATGATCCATCTAACTTCTGTCACCTTACTACGATCCCTTTGACCTATGTCGTCTGCCAACTACGATCCCACTGACCTCCATCACCTGTTGACTGTAGTCCCTTTGGCCTCTCTCTCAGAACTACGTGTAATAACTTCAATATATGAAATGAATTTTCGTAAAAAATATGAAATTTTAAAGTAGAGCGCTTTGACGCTGATCTAATGAGCACTATGGTGTTAGGACATGAACATTTATGTATATAATTGTCTCACCCTACTGACTCCCTCACTTAGATTACTTGGCCATGAAGAAAATGAAAGGGGAGAAGAAGAAAGAGGAGAGAGAAAGGTTTTTAGATCATATTTGTCAGTCATTCCTGTTACAGATTTTATTCTATTCATTGTAAGTGAGTAATCTCTTACTCATGTTTTTAATGGTTTTGATTTATATGGATTTTATCTCTTAAATTTGCCAAAAATTTATTCTCCTGATCTTGTAAGCTTTCACCATTTAACGATATGTTATATATTTGATCATTCTCAACGATTTGATATGATTTAATTGCATTTTAAATGAAGTACTGAATGATATGAGATCATGATATGATAACTCCACATGATACTATATTGATCCACGTGATTTACTTATTAGGAGTCGTAACGAGCTGGAGATTGATTGGGAGTTATAAGGAGTCGGGGCAACTAATTCATGTGATTCAAGGTGAATTATAAGGAGTACATTGATTGAAAGTTATAAGGGGCGATTGATTGGGAGTTATAAGTACAAGAGCAAGATACTCTTAAAATACACTCATTGAATATCTGAATACTGATATCGACACTACAACGAATATTATATTGATATTGTGACTAATAGTAATACTGTTTATTATCAGTGACACTATTTATCATTATTAATTATGGTATTGATATTGTTACTGCATTAGTATTGTTGACTATTATTGATAATACGATTAATGATGTAATTGATTGAGATGTGATGAACTATAAAAGGATAAATTGATACATATACTTAGTATAGACATTGATGCATATATTTCTTTATATGATTTATAGTATATTTTTCTATTTTATTTTTTATTGATTTCAGTTGTAAGATTTTAGTTACTTGCTAGGCTATGTGCTCATTATGTGGTTTTATATATTTTTAGGAAAGGATAAGTATCATATGATAAAAGGCTTTGGAAAAGATAAAAATGTAATCATGTTTCTTTCCACTGTTCATTAATAAGCTCTAGTTAAATGGTTAAAATAAAAGACATATATAATTATTCCAATATAGATTATGGAGTATGACACTATGATCCTACCGGTCAAATGAACAAGCCAATGTTATATTGAGAACAATTCTCATGATATTTAATTCTTCAAACTCTAAACATATAATATGCTCTACATGATGTTTAGCTACACATTGTGTCAACGCCTTCCCTCGATGAAGGGCATCCTTTGTATCAAAAAATAAACAGAAGTGGAATTATTTTAATTGGAAAAGGCCTCTTGATTTTCCCCCTTTTAAATCATTCACGTAAAAATTATAGTGTCTCCTATGGCTCTTGCACTCTTCTTCCTTATTTGTATATGTATTAAATCTTCGCACAAAACTAGGACGTTAAACTCATCATCTCCCTATCATCGTGACGGTTCCGACACACAAGAATGCTGATTAATATTGCTAATTGATATTATATCAACATAAATTATGATAATTGAGAGACTTTTTATTTTAGAAAATCAGAAAATCTTGCATCCTATGAACTTTTCAGATCAAAGTTAAATTATCTCAGATGACATGAGAGGCAATAACTTATTATAAACCAGAAGAAAAATATTTAGAATTTCTCTCAATATCCTCACACATACAAAAACTATTATGAGCTTCATAAATTACTAGCATAATGATCTTTAGGTGAGGATGATATGAGTTTATATAATAAATAATTTATCTCTCAACATTAAATATCAACCTCATTTAAGACTCTTATGTTAATCACTACTGTAGAATTTTATAATAACCTTTGTAAATTTTGTGATAAAATTCATTATTAATTTTTTTTGCCACTATTATAGAATTTTATTGTAGCTATATATCTTCATAACATTTCTTAAGAACAGTTGAACGTTTTCAGGACTGCAGTTTATGCAAATCTGGAAAAATTTCAGTCCTGAAAGCCTATTATATTAAGCAAACAGTATGAGGATAGAAAAAAGTAAACATTTCAGGCGAAAATTGTATTAGGATATCATCAGACAAAAAAATCTAAGGATAAAAATGTATTTTTTTTAAAGAGAAAATGACTAAAATGGTCCCTTAATTTTTTATGAATCATCAAAATAATTCCTAACTATATTAAATAATCATTTTGATCCCTCGACGCTGTAAACAACAACAACAACAACATGCACGTTAATCAGCAAATCATGATCAGAACTTTCATCTGTTGATTGCAGCATGGAGCTTCTATAAGGCGGTGATGTGAAGAGGCTTCTCGGACTGAAGCAAGTTCCCTCATTATCAACAATGTCTTCAGCGTCATAAATAGCTTGTGTTGGTTCTTCTCTTGACTTCCTTGATTTCCTGAAGGGAGGAGAGGTGCTGATGTATCTGTGTACTTGTTTAGGGCTCCTCATGGTAGTAACCTTAGATTCTGAAATTCATTTCATATAGAAAAAAGCACCTAAGCTGTCAGGAAACTGAAGAATAAGAATTTTATTTACTTAGGTTTCGTTTGGGACGGCTTTCTTACTGCTTCTTAAAGCTGCTTTGTAGTACAAAAATTTAAATTTTTATACTAGAAAGCTGCTTTAAGAAGTAGTAAGAAAGCCGTCCCAAACGAAGCTTTATTTGCATATATGTGAAAAGGTTGTAGTAGCTCTAGTGGAAGAAAAGATTAGAGAAAATAGCCTTAGATGTTTTGGTCACATTAAACGGAGGCCTTCCCATGACCCAATTAAGAAAGTTGAGGTATTATATTTGACTTATATTAAAAAAGGTAGAGGTAAACATAAAAAAACTTGGTTAGAAAAAATTAGAAATGATCTTTCTTTATTAGATTTAAACAATAATTTGATTTTTAACAGACACAATGGCGAAAAAAGTTTTATGTAGCCAACCCCACGCAATGGGACAAATGCTTGATGTTTTTGTTGTTATTGTATTTGCATCACAAAGAGTCTGCATACACCAATTTCGTGGCTTATGGACTTAGTTTATTGAGCTTTAGGATACGTTTGGTTGAAAGATTTTCTCATAATTTAGGCTAAATCCTACCAAATAGTTTTTTTTTTTTTTTAAGTCACATAAATCCTACTACCGTCTTAGTGAATCATAGAGAGCAGGAATTAAGATTTTTACACCATTTCTCCTCATTTTTGTTTTTCTTTCTCTTCATTTGAATCCTTGATCTTTTAAATATTTGTCTAACAATTTATCAAAATTTAACTAAATTTAATATAAATCATGCCAAACATTTTAGACACCATGATTTACTAAATTTGGATTTACAAGATTTACTAAATTCTAATCCTACTTGTAGTCAAACAGCCCTTTGATAATATGGAACGTTTTTGCCATGGGAGCCTTTAAATAGCTTATCATTTGGGTTGGCCAATTTGATAACTCTTCTACTTATTTGTATAGTTCAATTCTAACGGCTATTGATTCCAAAATTCTCCATTTAAAGAGAGATCATGACCAAGTTGCTTCAGTTCCTGCCAATATGAAGACTAGGGAGAAGTTGCTATATATAAGCTTCGTTTGGGACATTTTTTTTAATTTCTTAAAGCAGATTTTTAATAGAAAATTATAGTCTTATCCTCCGTTATAATTAAGGCTTCGTTTGGGATGGCTTTCTTGCAGCTTCTTAAAGCAGCTTTCTAGTACAAAAATTTAAATTTTTTTACTAAAAAACTGCTTTAAGAAGCATCAAGAAAACCGTCTCAAATGAAGCCTAAGTCAGATGATTGAAATTATTAACCAAACATGACTGAACAGGGATAATTAAAAGATATTTTAAATTTCAGTCAAATAAGCATCCCATCCATACAATTTATGAAATTTAGTGCAAGCATTGCATGAAAATAGACGGAAGCCTTAATGATTTGGCACTAGTCCATTTCATGGCTCATGAACTGCTTTGCACAGCACTATATTATTCATTTTTGCAAAAACAACTAAATATCTTGCCACTTCAAGTAAAACATGGCTTCACCATTAAAGATTGATTAGAACTTCTAATAACAGGGAAAATAAAGTTAAGAAAAGTGGCAATAGATGATTGCCACTGAAGGCAGGATAGTAGCATATAAGCAGAAAGCACAGCAACATTAGACATGCCAGAACTGGAAGTAAACCAACCTAGTAAATGCTGATTCTCGCTCTCACAACGCCTCTTAGTAGGTGTCACATTGGAATGATCATAAAAATCCTTTCCCCTTTCATCAATTTTTGCACCAGTAACTTGTTTCTGTTTTTTCTCCTATTGTAAAAGAAACATAGGTTGATTAGCATGTATTTGTTCATTTGAGATGTTCATTTGATGTTCTTATTTGCATGAAAATGAGTAAATAGCTGAAGATTTTCTGCAAGAACAATTATGTTCATGGGCAATTTATTCTAAAAAACAAAACATTATAATAGGAATACAAGACCACTAGGGACCAATCTTTTGGTTAGTCATAAAATTCATGTAGTTTGTACTAAATATCTATTTGTTTTGAGCAAATGCATTCCTATAAGATACTCTTTTTTTTCATTTTTGATACCTTTAGCTGCTTGTAGAGTTGCACCCATCTAGATTGGGTTAAATTGAGCAACACAAGCCTCTTCAAAGTACTACATTCTTCAACGCTCATTTGTAAAAAGGTGAGATCAAAAAGCCCCTCTTGCAGAAGTTGTTTGAAATGAGAAAAGGATTCCAAGAATTGGTAACTGGAGAACATGATTTTAAGGCTGCAAATATGTAATGAACATTTCAATATAGTTTGGAGGTATATGAGAGAGTTAATTAGAGAATGAATATAAGTCTAACCTATCAGTAGGTTCAGCAGTATCAATAGAAGGTAGATATTTCATCAAATACTGCTGCTCATCATTTGTCAAATGTTTCATGAAAACCTCGAAGCTAACAACACCCTAATAAGATGGAAATTATATCGAATTGTTAAGACTTTACAAGGACAAACCATCTAAACAAGCTTAGGCTTCATTTCGGACGGGTTTTTTACTACTTCTTGAAGCAGCTTTCTGATACAAAAATTTTAAAATTTTAATTTTTATACTAAAAAGCTGCTTCAAGAAGCAGTAAAAAAGTTGTCCCAAACGAAACCTTAGTTAACAACTTCATGAAGTCAATACAGATATTTAAAAGGCACTAAGCCACAAGATAAACTTTGATCTTACTTCAAGTTTTGCAGACCACAGAAGTGAATCTCTGGATTGCAGCATATTCAAGATATCCGGAGAAAATCTGACCCTGCAAAGATGGATTAGAACTTCAAATCTTAACTATTATCACCTATAACCGAATAAAAAGTAATATCTGTTATTTAATAGATTTCTAGTGTGAGAACTCAGCCAAATCTAGGTGATAAAATAGATTTATATGAATAAAAAGTTAAATAAAATGGAATTCACCTTGTAGCATTTTCTTGTGCCAAATGTGCTGTAGAAATCTTAAGTTTGTTCATGGAAGCGCTAGAGAAATTAGTTCTTTTAGTTTCAATATTTATAGGAAGGGATGAAGGTCTTGAGGCATCACAGACTAACTTATCATATAATGGAAGAGAACTAGCTTCTGATTCCTCCTCTACTGCTTTTGACCATGGATGTCTAAGCAGAACACCTCCATGCCCTATTTCAACTGAACCAATTGGATTTTCATCTTCAAAAAGTAAATCATCATCTGAAGTTCCAGATATGTTTGATGATTGTTGTTCATGCCAAATGGAGTATAGGTCTTTGGTAAGCTTTTCAACAGAAGAATGTTTAGGGCGGATAACACTTCTCTTCTTTGATGGAACTAGTGAGTCCCATGCATTTGATTGTGCTGAGCCTAAAAATGTATATGAAATGTAAGTAAGATGTGCAAAATACTGCAACAATGATGACATAACAGCATAAAAATTCAGGGTCTAATCAATTAAAAAAAATTGTGCATAATAGGTTTTGTTATGCCTTAGAATCATGGATGAAACTCCCAATATTTCGCTAAAAGACAGTATTTGACACATCAAAATCTCATTTATGTTGCAAAAGTAGTGGAGAAGCCAAATTTTTTTTAGTCAGGGCATACACAGATGAATTCAAAATTATCTACAATATTTTTCAATGAAAATTTTAATGGTTAACAAAATTTTGATTTCTGAAGAATCAAGATGAGTGATAACCTACTCCATTTATGTTGACTTAGGTGCACTGTTTAACCCACTCCATATATATAATTCATGTTTAAGTATTTTATATAAGATTACATGAGTTTTTGTGCTAATGGTGGTGATGTGCAAATTAAAATAACGAATGATTCTGTAAAAACTTCACACTGTGAGGCACATTCCTATATTGAATGGGAATTTGATCTCAATTGGGCAACTGGATAAAGAAGGATATCTCTCTTTCGTACTCATACTTGGAAGGAGAGCAATAGTGCTATGGTGATAAGTTGTGGGAGTAAAGATGACATTCTTTACATAAAATCAAATACCTGGATACTGAGAGTAACAATGGATGGAAATGCTAGTGAACCTAAAAGAATAGCATAGGATAAATATTATATCAAGTAGGAGAGAGATACCAAAAGATAAAAGAGCATTGCAAGGTAGATAGAATTTCAAGATCAAAATGAATATGAAAAAAAAGAAAGAAAGATTGTTGTAAATGTATCTGATAGGTTTACCACTAGCGGACTGAAGTACAACAAAACTTTAATAAAGTACATTGATGCTAGACATGTTCCAATAAAGCATACAACAAATATCAAATACCTTTGAATACAATAACAACAACAACATCAAGCCTTTATCCCACTACGTGGGGTCGGCTACATGAATCCTTTTTCTCCATCGTGTCCTACTAAGAGTCAAATTCTCATTTAAATCTAATAAAGAAATGTCATTTCTAATATTATCTAACCAAGTCTTTTTAGATCTGCATCTATCTTTCTTAACATAGGTCAAATCTAATACATCTACTCTCCGAACAGGGTCATCATAGGGCCGTCGTTTTACATGACCAAACCAACTAAGGCGAATCTCTCTAATCTTATCTCTCACTGGAGCTACTCCAACCTTTTTATGGATATGCTCGTTTCGTATCCTGACTCTAAGAGTAAATCCACTCATCTACCTGAGCATCCTCATCTCAGCAACGCTTAACTTAATATTATGCTTCTTTATTAATGGCCAACATTTTGCGCCATAAAGCATTGCAAGTCTCGCCACCATCTTATAAAATTTTCCCTTAAGTTTCAGTGGTACTTTTCTATCACACAACAAACCGGAAGCATTCCTCCACTTCAACCATCGAACTTGAATTCTACTAATAATATCCTCATCTTTTTCACCATCACTTTGAACAATAGATCCACGATATCTAAAATGAATACACTTATTAATAACTTGATCGCTCAAAGTCACAAACCCCCAACTGGATCTTTTACTACTAAAATTACACTCCATGTATTTGATTTTAGATCTACTCAAACGAAAACCTTTAGACTCTAAGGTTGACCTACATAATTCGAGTTTACCTTCAACTCCCTCTCTAATCTTATCAACAAGAAGAATATCATCAGCAAAAAATATACACCAGGGTTCATCCTCTATAATTCGCATAATCTTGTGCATCACCTTTATTCTTAAAAATAGGAATCAACACACTGATTCTCCACACATCTGACATCTTTTAAGTCTTCAAAATAATATTAAAAATTTTAGTAAGCTAAGAAATTTGTTCATCTCCTAAGCATTTTTCAAACCTCTATTGGAATGTCATCAGGTCCAATAGTTTTTCCACACTTCATTTTCTTTAAAGTCTTTTTAACTTTAAATTTACTAATACAATGATAAAAATAAAAATTCTATTTTCATTTAGAATGCTAAGATCATTAAAGTCAAATGTATTATCACAATCTTCATAAAAAAGCTTAAGAAAATATCTCATCCATCTTTGTTGAATATTCTCTTCTAAAAAAACACTTTTGATTTGCATCCTTAATGCACTTCAGCTGAACTATATCCTTATTACTCCAATCTCTTTGTTTGGCTAACTTATACATATATATTTCACCCTCTTTAGAATCTAATCTATTATATAAATCATTAAATACTAAAATTTTTGTATCGCAGATTGTTTTTTTAAACACCTTACGAGCCTCATTATGTCTTTCCCAATTTTTAGATTTTTTACATCTAAATCAATTATTACAACAAAGCTTTTTTTTTTTTTCTTGCACATTTTGATTCCACCACCAACAATTTTTATTAGTAGGAGTTTTTCCTTTTGAAACTCCAAGCACATCCTTTGCAACATTTTTAATATTACTAGCTACTTTTCCCACATAACATTCGCTTCCTCATACACAGACAAAATCTTAAGATCTCGAATCTTATTCTCAAAAATATTTTTGTTAGTGTTCTTTAAATGCCCCCATCTAATATTGGAACAAAATTTCATTATATTTTTCATATTCTGCCACTTCATCTTAAAGTTCAAAATTAATAAGTGATATTGGATACATAAACTTTCACTCATAATAACTTTACAATTTTTACAATCTAAACGATGTATTTTTTTATAAGAAAATTATCAATCTGTATTTTGCTATATCCATTCTTATAAGTGATGAGATGATCATCTATTTTCTTAAATAAGGTATTAGCAATTATAAAATCATAAGTTATAATAAAATTTAATATAGTCTTACTACCTTCATTAGTCGCTACGCAAACACATAGCACATGAATACTTTTAAAATCATCTACTTATCTACTAACATATCCATTTAAATCACCTCCAATAAATTTTTTTCTTCAAGAGGTATCTTTTGAATTAATTTTTCTAAGTTATTTCAAAATTTTAATTTTAAACACATATCCAAACCTCCTTTAGGAGACACTTATAATATTAATAATCTTAACATCAACAATAATCTTCAAAGTTATAATTTTATCTTCAATTCTATTAATTTTTATATTATCCTTTAAACTCTTATTTATAATCACACATACATCATTTGTAGTACGACTTCTATCAGAAATCAAAGCTTAAATCCTAAACTATCAATCTCCTTAGTCTTCTCTCCAAACCATTTGGTTTTCTGAATGCATAAAATATTTATCTTCCTATGAATCATAATATCAATTAATCTCATTAATTTGCCTATAAAAGAACCTACATTCCAAGATCATATCTAAATTTTAGATTCATGGACTAGCTTTTTTGCCCACATCCGTCCATGATGCGGGAAACCTTGCCTATTTAACACTGCACCCAGGCATCCATGAAGCGGTTCTCGCACATTTTTTTATTGTATTCAGGCTATATAATGTGTTGCTTCCAAGGAATGTCCTAACATTAACATAATGTATTAAAAAATTTATGTCATGATTATTTGACAAGTTTTATGTTGATTGTTGAGTACCTAATGCAACCCTCTACGTTTCTCATCCAGAACTTGGGACCTGACAATGAAAATATATCAAATACCTTTGAATATAATATATATATATATATATATATATATATATATATATATCAAGAAAACTAAACATTTTGAACTTTAACGTATGCAATCAATCATTATTTGTGCTTTTCATGCACTTCAAATTTTCAGCATCAAGAACTATGCAAAACGGATACTAACACATTATTTTGTGCTTGAAATATGTAATCAAATGAGTTCATTGGAATCAGGAAGACAAGTGTCATTAGTTTTGGTCTGACCTCTGGATGTTCTCTATAGTTTTTGCAATTCATGTACTCCAAGCATACACATTATCTTTAAAAGGAAAATTAAGAAAGAATTGTTCAACCTTGATTATGTCATCATCAACTATCCAAATGCCAAATGCAAGAAGTAGGATGTAACCTGTCCAATCATTTGCGTCAGTGTTGCCAAAATGTGCACAGCTTTCTGAATATGATATCGCTGGACCAGAGCTAGCATCCTCTTCTAATGTTTCAGATAATGAAATTTCATACTTATTCTCCACCACACCAATCATCTTCTTTCTTTTCTGCAATTTCTCCACTTTAGGCTTGCTATATATAATTTTCACTTTAGCAAATTTGGGCTCTTCCCAATTAATTGGCTCACGGGCATGCAAAGGAGTGTAGTTCACCAAAGTCCCCTTAGTCCTCCATCTTGAACCACAAGCATTACATAAAACTGGCTTTTCTGGTGGCCCATTACGCCAAAGAGGAGTATCTGTTGCATCATTTAAACTTAGAAGCCAGATAAGAAAAATGTGATCGGAACATCAATACTAAATGCTATCTTCACTATGCAGAATAGTATTTCACTATCAAATACTGAAATCTAGAATGAACAAAACTTGCTTCTCAATATTAATATGTCAAGAAGAAAGATAAAAAATTGACAATGAAGAATTCCATGCTTGTTCATCTAACCAAAATTTATCAGATAGTATACGTGATTTGTAAATCAAAAAAGAAAATAAACTTTGGTTTCGTTTGGGACGACTTTTTTACTTCTTTTTGTAACAGCTTTTTAGTGCAAAATATTTTAGTTTAAGAAATTTTTGTACTAAAAAGTTGTTTTAGAAAGCAATTAAAAAACTGTACCAAACGAGGCCTTAGTTTCTCACTCAGATAGTAGAATGAAATAAGCATAAAACATATTGCACTGATGAATCCAGGGAAACAATTACAAAAGATGAAATTTCAATTTACGAGATTGATGAAAGCGAAGGAGCGTTAAAAAATGAACAATTCTGGCACTAATGAATGAAGTTAGCAACCATAACAGCTCCACTGATGAAGACACAAATTGACAGTTGACCTGGCCTAATTCAGGCATTGAGATTATAATAATAACATAACAATGAGTAACAAGCATTGGGAATTCAGAAGCTGAATAATTCACCAGAAATAATGATATGGTAACACTATAGAGCTTTAAGTGTCAAACATGCAACAAAGTAACTCTTACAAAGCCAAAGAATAGCATCACACACAACTCAAACTCTCGTTCATCGAAATATTATCTGATTTGGCCTAATAGCCCTCACGGATTTGCCCCTTAGCACAACTTGTCAGGGTTCACCCCTCCTAGGAATGTTCTATCATGAACAAGCTTAACTTTGGAGTTCCAAATAGAGTTCCAAATGCAATTCTAACCATTACAACAAAAAGCACTTCGATATTTTAAAATTGTGCTTCAACATACTTAAGGAGCCTTACAAACAACACCTAAAGCTCGGCATAAAGGAAGATTCAGTGCTGAAATTGCACAAGAACCTGCTATAAGTGTGTATAGGCCACTAAAAGACATGATTCTTAATAAAGATTATGGTTTGAGGAAAAGTAATCAGAGTAGTAGAAACAATAGTTTTAGTTCAACAGCTAATGTGGTTATCTGTGTTTCAAAACACATTCAGTCAGGTCAAACCTGTATATTGTTAGGTAAGTCATTAAACTTTCCCTAGATTCCCATCAACAACCTTGACAATAAACATTTAAAGAAGAGGTAGATTGCAAACTTCCATAGGGTTTTGAAAGGTTTCAAGAGGCAGTTCAGTGATCACAAATACAAGTTCCAAGGTTCAAACAAGCAAGCTTTTCCATACTCTTACCCTGAACTGAATTCTTCGCCATGAAGCAAAATGAAAACAATAGAAAAAAATTCTCCACAAACCCCTTCCAATCTCTAAATGTATTTATTCAATTCCCAACCCAATTCCACAAACATGCAAAGATTGAAATTAAAACAAGGGAGAAGAAGAAGAATATTCACAAAGTCAAACCAAAATTCATTACACAAATCTCTTGCTATTATAAGAAAGAAGCAATTCCAAACGTTCTAAACTCATTGCACAAATCAACTAACAAGGAGATTAACAACAATAAATAAAACAAAGATCCGTGGGCATGAGAAATTAAAAAAAAAAAAATTTAAGAAGTCGTGAACGATTGCTCACTTGTAACTCCACAATGACGGCAAGGTCCATGCTTTCCCATGCCTCCAAATTTGTCTCTACCACACTTATATTGATTTCAAGAGAATTCAAAAACTAAAAGAATTTAAAGGTACTATTTTTTTATCGAAATTAGGAAAAATTTTGAAGCAGTTTATTGTATATTTTCTACAAAATATTATTAGAGACCTTCAAACAAAAACCATGACGGCCTAAAAACCCGGGAATAAATTATCTGCAAGCAAAACCAGAAGCTCGGGCTGAAGCTCAACCAATCCAGAGAGCGAAAAGGAGATAGGAAAGGAGGGAAGAAAAGAGAAAGATGAAGAGAAAATGGAGAACTTCTAAAAGGGAAAAAAATTAGATATTGAGATGGGTTTTTTAGATGGGAATCAGTACAATCCAATACAGGAAAAAGACCACTGCGGAATCAAATTAATGGTGGAGGAAAAAAGGTAGAGAAGGTGAAGAGGTGAGGACTGAGGAGAGGCTGCCTTCTTTTATTTCTTTAATATTTGGTTTCTGGCTTCCTTCTTGTTCTGGTCCATTTGTAATAAGATACTTCACAAATTTTTGCCTTCCCCCTTTCTTTAAATTTTTTATTTATTTAAAATGAAACTAAAAATTATATCAAAATATTCTTGATAAAAATTACATTAAATCTATTAAATTTGTTTGAAAATTAATAAATTTAATGCTTTTTTATTTTATAACTTTTAAATAAATTCTAACATAATTTTTCTTTATTTAAAATTATAACATAAATTAATTCTTTTTGTGAAAAAATAATATAAGCATAATTACATTCAAAATTTTAAAATTAATTTTAAATTTTCATCCACAAATTAATTGGCATCAAATGTGTAAAAAATTTTAAAAATGAATTTGGCCTGTGTGAATTTGATAAATTATTTTTTATTTAAATATTTTAAGTGGGACCCATAGTGGGGTCATTGGGCAACATTATATTGGTGCTAATTATCCCACCTATTATATTATGTGTGAGCTAATAAAATTTTGATCATATCTATATGACCTATTACATAGGAGGATAGTATACTTTTTATTTTAATTGTTTGTGGTATTAATAATGTATGCTTTTGGTGTGTCACTAGACATTGCTTGAAGGCTGGAGTACTAAAAAACTTAGGGCAAGGGACAACATTACTTTCATTTTTTTTTTATTTGATAAATGTCTCACGAGCTGAGCTTAATAAGGTACAGGTCAGGCTGAGTAAGTGCCGAGCCAACTCGTTGGCTCGTGAGCTGGCTTGGTTGAAATTTATTAATATAAAAAACAGTTTAAATATCTTAGAACTTAATGATTTTAATATAAAATTTTTATTTTTTTTTTAATTATATCTTGCTTTACTATTTCAAGCGTTTTCTTATTATTGCTCATTTAATTTCTTATTTTTTTATAATATTGTTATAGTGACTGTTTGAATAAGAATGAATTTTACTTTTTATAGTAAGTGAGCCGACTCGAGATTTGACTCGAACACGTAGAATTAAGCCCAAGCTTAAACTTGAACTTGATTAATTAGTTAAGCTTGTGCCAAAGATAACCCGAGCTCGAGACGTCTCATTTGCACCTCTTATTTTTTTTTAAAATCCTGAACTAGAGCTAGCTAAGTTATTGTGGATTAGTTCTATGTAGTAAAAACATTTTTAAGAAAATGAAGAAAAAATGGACATAGGTCTATTCTAATTAAATTTTTATATAAAGCATCTTTAAAAATTTGTCGCCCAAATAAGCACAAAATTTTAATTTTACAAAGCAAGCAATTCCAACGTAGTCCTCCTTCCCAAATTTCTTATTTAAAGATCCCTAAGTCCCACCTTCTTATGGGTGTAAGTGAGTCAAGTAGGGGTGCCAATATTGGACCCGACCCGAAAACCTGATTCGAAAATTTCGGGTTCGGGTTAACCCGGAAACACGAGAATGACCCGGAATGGCCCAAAAATTTCATTTGACCGGATGCCCTGCGTTGCTTGCCCTGACTGCCCACGTGACTGCATATCGCCTGCCTGAGATAGTCACGTCGCTTGCTCGAGACGGAGTCGCGTCGCCTACCCATGTTACGCACGTTAAATGCTCGACAACCTGAGTCACGTCGCCGCCTGCGCGAGTCTCGTCGCCGCCTGGTGTCTGCCCCGCGTTGTCTGCACCGCTGCCGCTGCCCCGCCAGCGGCCACTGCCATCTCTCGCTGCTGGGCAGTCGGAGGACCGAATCGCGTGCGGCCGTGCGGAAAATTCCGGAGGAACGAACCCGAAGCAGTCGGGTTGGGTTGACCCGAAGCGGTCGGGTTCGGGTCCGAAAAATCGACCCATTTGCAAAAAAAGGTCAGGTTGACCCGAACCTGAATAGTGCCAGGTCATTTTCAGGTTCGACCCGAACCCGACCCGTGACTCGAAATTAACACCGCTAGAGTCAAGTCAACTCATAAATCAACTTGGGCTCAACTTGATAGATTGCTAATGAACCAAGTTGTTGAGTTAACAAGTTAAGCTCGAGCAAGTCATGACTCAACATGTTAGCTCTCAAGCAGGCTCATTTAAAGAATATTAATATAAAGTATATTTGCATTCGAGATTTTAAGTACATAGTAGGTTAAAATATTTAAAAATTATATCTCATTTTATTATATTAAGATATTATTTTTTATTTTTCTTCTTATTTCTCTTTCTATTTCATTTTATTAGAAACATTGTTTTAATCATAATTATATAATTTTCTCTTTTATAATAAACAAGCCGGCTAGAAATCGTACATTAATAAAGCCTAATTCGAGCCGCACTCGCAATTGATTATTTAAACAACTAGGGGTGACTCGAGCTCGTTGAAGCCCCTATAGCTTATATACATCTCCTCAACTCTCTCTCATAATCATTTTCTTTTATGTAGGCTTATGTTTTTTTTTTTAATTATTGTTTATCTTTTAGTTTTCGATGCATCATTAAACTTAGTATTTTTAAAGTTATAATTTAAGTATGTCTAAGTTGAGAAATTAATTTATGATTGTAATTTAATAAAAGTTAATAAAAATAAATTGTTATCATTTAATTTGATGATGAAATTAAAGGGGTTTTTTTTACAAAAATCAAAATAGTAAATGAAGTAGCTTCTAGTTGTGGAGTAGCAAATTAAAGGGGTTTTTTAACTTTTAATACTTAAGCTTCAATTGGGACGATTTTTTTATAGCTTCTTAATTTAATTTTTTAGTATAAAAATTAAAAACCGTCTCAAATCAAGCCTTAATGAATGCTTTAAGGGATCTCATTTAGCTTACGCCTACCTTATTCTTTACTTGTTGATTTTCACAAGCTCAACAAGTGGGCAAATTATTGCATCCGGTCACCGGACGCGGAGATAGATCCGGATATTAATAAAATATTATTTTAAATTAAGCGCATCAAAAGCGCAGGTAAAGTGCAGGTATAGTGCAGGTCAAAGCGCGGTCAAAAGCGCAGGTTAAGCGCAAGTCAAAAGCGCAGTTGTTTCTTAAAACAGCTTTCTTGTATAAAAATTTTCAATAAAAAAGTCGTCCCAAACGAAGCCTAAGTTGAGAAATTAATTTATGATTGTAATTTAATAAAAGTTAATAAAAATAAATTGTTATTCATTTAATTTGATGATGAAATTAAAGGGTTTTTTACAAAAATAAAAAAAGAAAATGAAGTAGCTCAACAAGTGTGCTGCACTTAATTGAAATACTAATAAATCCATAATTATTTATTCATAAGCTTGACTACCATAATTAATATTAATAAATCAGAATGACTCTAATTAAAATCTCACTAATTAATTTAAATAAATAGTATAAAATTATTCTGGCCACTTAATCAATTAACTAATTGCAGTTGGCTGATACAATGATCTATATTGCTAAATAGTTGATTAAAATTAATTTAATTTGTTATTAATTAATTAGTCATCCACTCATCCCATGACTACTTTTGAAAACTAAATGTTTATAACTTAAACTTTAGTGATTTTAATAACAAGACTAATTAACCTCCAATTATTCTCTAATATCTAATTAGCATAATCAAAATATAAATAGCCCAATCAGCCTATTTAATCAAAATAATCACTTCTAGGCATAGTTTCAAAACATCTGAAAACAAGATTATAGCCTTAATTTCATGAATTAGGACTACTCAAATCAAATGAAAATTTGTAAGCATCGGTAAATCAACATCTATAATAATTTCAATGATTTGCTTTCAAAAGCATATATATACATATAAAGCTGCACTTCTTTAGAGATATTATTTCAACTGAAGAGGTTCAAGTGAAGAAAATTGCATCAGAAAATAATTTATCCGATGTCTTGACAAAGTGCTTGAAAATAGCTAAATTCGATAATTGTTTGAATTTAGTTAACTGTGTGGTTTTAAATCACATTAAGTTTGGATTAAGGTGGAGATTGTTAGTATTTTTTGTGATCCAAGTTAATTCAATTTCTCGTTTTCATTTTTTTTTTCTTTTTTTTAACAGAACAAAAAATCACATTACAATAAAAAATTACAGCACAAGACCTCAAGAAGGGAGACGTCAATAGATTACAATTAAAGATAAAAATAAAAAAAATAGCATTGGCAAAGCAAAATGAGATTAGGAAAGACAAAAACGAAAGAATATCGGACTCAGACCGACATCTAATTGTCAGGGAAGGGCCATCCATGGAAGGCAAGCAACACATCCGAACCGAAAAGCCGCATCGAGCCATCCAGGTTGCCAAAGAACCCTGGCCATCCAAGGCGCATGCAGCAAAGCTGCTTCCTCATCGTCCATTCCGAATCGAAACCAGCATCACAACGCAAAGCAACATAAATAAAAAAATAACCAAATAAATCCTCCCAAAACTTCTAAAAGAAGAAAATGTTCAAAACTTCTAAAAGAAGAAAATGTTTTCTTCTTAGAATTTCGTTTACGTTGCCTAACCAATTATCGAGCGAGCATGTATCCAGGGAGTTATCAATAAAATCATCCCCACTATCAATAGCCATGTCAACATGTAACCAATCACATTGCACCTAACATCTCTAGCAACATGGGCTAGCATATCAGCATTTGGAATGATAGAAATTGGTACATCCACTAGCGACATCACAATACCTTCATCCCCAACAACAGCCAAGATTTCCTCACCACTATCAACAAAGGAACATAATTATCATCAAACAATGCCGCACCATCACCAACAATCAAACTATCACTAAGATTAATACAACAATTACTATCAGAAGCAGGCACAAGGACAGGAGCCACAATAGGAGAGACAACATCAAGAAGTGCAGGGGTTGTCTGGGAGAGAGCAGGGCAAAGCACATGCCCGACAAAAGACACACCCACATCACAATCATTTATAGCATGGATAGGGGAATCCAACACAAGAACCAACTCCAACAAAATAGCAAGAGAGCCACCCGAACAAATTGCAGCAACAAAAGTAGAGACAACCGGAGACTGAAATTGGTAAAACGGAATTAACTCAATCCCAACATCACCAATAACGGGCAAAGCA